TATTTTTTACTTCGATTAGGAAGTCCATTAATGACCATGTCCATATGCCGCCTATATGAGTTGATTCCTAATTGAATTTACATTAGCGGGCTAACTGAAGGAGTAGAAGTATGACTTTATTCAGGAAATTATCTCAACTAGTGTTTCAATTGGTTAGTTAAACTTAATTCGGTCTATTTAGTTACAGGTAGATTTTATGGACTTCATTATTTCTAAACTGTCATAGGATTTAGTATATGTGAGAAATATACTCTAGACCCGATGTCCTGATTTGCAATAGAAGTCATTTAAATTAACTCCACTTGTCACTCTTCTAGAGTTCAACAAATTTGGCGTACAAAATGTCATTTTTAACAGGTAGTTTTAACCAATAGGAATAAGATTCGTCACGAAGTTTTGCAGTTTATCCCTGGGGGTGCGTAATTCTGCTGATTTTTTCACTCGTTTGATTCATTAAAACCTAAAGAGTTCAGATAAATACATAGTTCTCACCGTATAAATGATCAAAAACGTGCCTAAGTTTGCAGAAACTTTATAGATTAAACTTGCCGTAAGTTTCTGAAATATGGTCCATGTTGTTTAGTAATGAAACTCGAAAACTGAAGATTGGTCAGGTAGTAGTTGAAAGAGAAGACACTAAGGGATAATCCATAGTTGAAAGTAGAGTAAAATGTTGAGTGAAGAAACAAGTGTAAGATCCATTTTGAAGGTGAAAATCCCTTCATGTATACATTTGCAATTTCTTCTTAGTGGTTTCTTTATTTGTACATATTGTTAACCTTTGGATACCAATTGAAACTGCAACGTTTAATTTCAAAATAGTTTTTTCAGTCTTTCTATCACTTTCATTGAGTTTCTATGTTTCTTCTTGATCTGTATATGATTTGTTTTAATTGATATTATTCTGGAGGCTGCCATATTGAGTGTTCGCTAATTTGATTGGGCTGTTTGATTTTGACTGGGATCGTGCATTTTCCCAGAATTGGAAACACGTTGTGTTATAGAACAGCCGTCCAAACTGAATTTTTCTCGATCTATCTAGAAAGGATAGAATAACAGTTACCTTTTGATGTGTTCGGTAAATTTCTTATATTTCTTATCAACTTCCTATTTATTGTAATTTAGATTGAATATTTTGATATCATTTGTTAATTGAATAACTATGTGGTAATATTTGTTTAGGTAAATTTGCACATTTGTATATATGATGAATTTTTAGAACCGTTGTTACCCAAAACACCTTGTTCTGATTTCGATTGGGTCACGCGTCCACAAAACTATTACCCAGTTATTCAGCCACTTCCAGACCTATTGGAATTTAGGTTTGGATCTTACAACAAGATGGAGAATTAAACTCAGACAACTATCCAGTCTTTGCGTACATTACTTACCAGTGTGTATCTACGTCGATTAAGAGCCGTATTTGCTAATGGCCAGCATTTTAACAAATCTATTCGACTGATGCGTGTAAATGTTACCAATGCTTGTTACTAAACGTTCATAGTTAATCCTAAATATAGATAGTAAATTGTTAGCGCCAATAGAGTTAGTAAGCCAAGAGTACTAATCAATATTAGAACACGATAATACACGTGAGGATTAATCAACAGACTGATGGAAAAATTGCTTAACTTGAGTAAAAATCGATCTATAAAGTTCAAGTATGAGAACTAATAACATATTGCTTGTTTTTAGTCGGCCTCATCAATGTAGAATTATGATATTAGTTCGGTATATGTACATTTGTCTTTGCCACTGTAGTAACAGACCTAGTCATAAAGTTACAGATTTCCCATTATGTGAACGCCTAATCCATAAGATCTTACGTAGAAGTCATATCATTGTGCATACTGACCAGTCCTATAAAACAGTCAGCAGAATGACGTCTAACAGTTCTGGCGAATACATTTGGGCTGAGGATTGAAGTCGCATAGGGCGACCACACCTGAATGGTCGAGCCATTGAATACTGATTAAGTGGGTCGCGTCCAGAATTTCTGGCCTTCTATAAGTGCTAAGTTCTGAGTGCAAATTTTCTCAGTTATTTTATGTTCGACCTAGAGCATCGTATGACTGAAGAATCATACCACTACACTTTCACACCGCTCTCCGTAGATCAATAGAAAAAGTCAAAATTAACTGTGGCAAGGAAACCATTATGGGATCTGTTCATAACTATGGATAATAAATCATCTAAGTATGAATATCAAAAGACCAGAAATCTATATAAAACGACCAACAGTAAATCTTGCGCCGCCCAATAACTTAGATTGATTAGTTAAGATTTGGTTGCTAACATCTTAATAATGTCAAAGCATTATAGCTCAAGCATTCATTCACCCCCTTATTTTGTGTAGGCATAATATAACTCCTATTACTTTGTAGTGAATGTTGACAAACTTTGTGTGTCTAAAAAGAGATAACTTCGAGCTTCAACTTTTCTGTTCCACTGTCAAAATAAAAACCTATTCACAACTAGTCTGGTTTTTTCAGTCAATAAAACCACGAGTACCCGCCAGCACAAAAATCGCTCATGAAAGACAATCGGGATACGATAGCTGCTCTTGTCCAAAATGATTGTTTCTATATACTAAAAGGGGAGCAAAAGAATTTTTCTAATTCCTTCATCACTTTTATACAAGAACTCGGATACTCTAGTTGAAAGTGCGATCAACGCTAAAAATTTATCCAATTCCTTCGGTGTTGTCTATTTGGTGGATATTATTGTCAATGTTTTTTATAATCATACTTCTGGGAGGACAAACGTAGTACCAGTTATTTTGATCTCGGGTGTCACTGAGGCTAATAGATTACGTCTACAAATGCTACCTACCTTCATGGGCATTATTTAAGGATAACAGACATCGTCGTTTCATATGAAATAGCCTTAGCTCCAACTCGCAAGTGATCAGAATGGTGGTTCAGTCAGCTCCATACGAAGAGTGACAGATCATGAGTAATTACCTACTCGTCATTCTAAATAGCACAGTGGTTCAGGTGGTTGAAAGAATTACCTTGGATATATAAATAAGTCGCTAAGAACCACAAAATAATAAGTCTAAAGCGATATGGGTTATGGAACAGACATTCCTGCTTGACAGACTCACTGATTATGAGAGAGAGTTAGATACCAAGCAGCTCAAGATAGCTGTTTGGCCGCCAATCTGACATTCATAGATCACACTAATGCATCGATACGGTTCCTTACTTGATGTCTGTGCAGAAGGTTTCTGTTGGGGATGTCAAATCCCCAGAACTTACTTGGTAAATGGCTTAATCTTGTAGTTTTATTTTGAAAATTTGAATTTAGCTGTTCTCGCGCCAAAAGCGCTCTTTTTACCTTCACGTCATATTTCCCACCTGTAAACTATCTTAACCGCTATTGGTCCATTGTTTCTTTGTGTGTGCTATTTACCAGTGATGCTCAAGGACAAATTGTTGTTGTATAAATGCGCTTGACTTTTTCCATTATTCGATTGCTTGTACTCGGCTGCTTACGGAATACATATATATTCCCCTACTTGCCTTGGACTTCTTCATCTAGTTAGCGGGGCCTGGGACAACAGATTAGAATAGCTTATCGTGTCATTGTGTCATTGGCTTTCGTTCGTTACCGCGGAATCGATTTAGTGTCAAGCATAACAGTTTCTCGCTTTGGAATAACAAGCATCATACAGAACTGAATATGAAACTTCCTGTGTAGCTAAAAGCAGGGAGTGTGTGTAAATGAACTATTATTCAGATGGAAATATATTAAAATTGGAATACTCCAAAGAACAACTTTTAGTACCCCATCACTTCTTCGACCATTTTTATGATTCATATAATAAGAGAAGTCGTCAATACTCTTTTTTTGCGGATGATTTTAAAGTTTGAAAAACAAAAAGAAGTAGGGGTAATCATCTTGATCTCTAAGCTCCTTTGGACAGAATACTTAGCAAGTCTCAAAGTTGGGGTTTGGAAATTGTTTCCAGAAAAAGTGGTCTGGTGAATAGTGGGCATGGCAATAGTCATCAGTTCATCACCGTAGGAACACCATTTTAATAAGTGGAGTAGCAAAAAGACCTAGCAATATATGTAGGTCGTGACTTGGAACCAACTGCGAATTGCAATGAAGGATCTACTAAAGACATTCATGTTTTCTTGTCACCTTGATGTAGGTTCAGATGCTATGACAAATATCTTTCGGATTTCATACCTCAACTATGTCAGGCCTCACCAATCATACTGAATCGAAGCTGTTGGCCCACTTCCCACTAAAGACTCTAACCCATTTAAGATGTCTCACTATGTGGCAGCTACTCTATCGTGGGAGTTATTAGTCTAACACTGAATTAGCACTGATTCAGGGTGATATTCTGACATTATATGAAGTGGCGTTAATATATACACAATAGCATTATACTTTGGAACATGATAGAATGGAGTGTAGAGCGAACGAGATGTTACTGAACCCACAACAAGCTATTCAACAGGAAGGACACCAAATGATGAACAGTTTACCAATCCCCAAATAATTTGAAAACAACCAACGTACTAATCTGCCGTGTGCCATGCACAGAGGAACGCAGTAGCGATCCTGCCCTGTATTTCACTGGCATTTTCCTACCTATAAATTCTGGTTTCATCAGTGGGAATATATGTTCTAGCGAGTCGCGTGGGTAGACGATACACGTGATTATCACAATGAAGTAATTTAGGCTACACATTCGTTGCGATGTGTAACTTTGATGTGAGTTGTAATTCCAGACTGTTCTCGTCCTACTCAAGTAGGTATCAATAATCGAAATAGGTAGCCTAGATTGGTGATTACAAGACAACGGGATTAATAGAACTTTGTTTGTATACCTTCGAAATTATTGTGAGCATCAATCGAATAACATATAGAAACTGAACACAGTTGATAAATGTTTACAACCCAAACCCATTATAGTTATAATTACACATACAATTTCATAAAGGGACAAAGTATTTTGGTACAATTACGAAAATTATCAGGATGACAAGGTCAAGCGGGCTTTTCGAACAGGAAGTTTAGTCGGATGGTTCAAATGGTTGTGGACCGATTAGAAGAAGCTTTCGCTTAACGGGCTTCCCTGTCTAGTAGCAGTGGATCAACAATTTCTCAAGGCAAGAACCTAGGCAGCGAATTCCAGCATTTGACAACTCTTACGGAGTAGAAGTTGTGTTTACAGTCTGTTCTGCTATGTTGGGTCTCCAGTTTCTGGGTGTTAGCTCTTAGGTTAGTGTTGTGACTAAGCTTAAGAAAATGTTTAAGGGAATGATCAGAAGTGTTAAGGATACTAAGTCATAAGAAGGTCACCTCTAAGACTCCTCTGATTCTTCGATATGACAGCGGGAATAGGTTTAGCTTGGTCAGTCTGGTACCATACGGGAGCTTCGCTATTCCGGGAACCAGCTTAGTTGCTATTCTCTGAAATCTTTCCAAGAGTTCACTGTCTGTTTTTAGGCAATGGCTAGATGCTTGTATGCAGTACTCAAGTTTAGGACGCACGAACACTGTATACAAAGTCAGTAACGTTTTAGCGTCGATATGACTAAAAGCCCTACGTATGGACCATAACGTTCTAAAACCTTTGGCGGCTATTGCACGGCAGTGTGCAGTAGTCTTTAAGTCTTGACTAACGATGACTCCTAAGTCATTGTGTGTCTGAACAATAGGTAGCTCAGTGTTATTCATCGTGTATGTATCTGTGCCCTGATGGCCAATATGCATCATAATACACTTGGAAGTATTTATCGGCAATTGCCAGGTTTGGGACCATTCAGATAATTTCTCCAAGTCATTTTGAAGTTCTAAGCTATCACCCTTACTTTGTATCGCTCTCCACTTCTTGACATCGTCAGCATAGAGCAAGACCGATGACGATAGTAGACGAGGGAGGTCATTTACGTAAAAGGAATAACACTGGCCTCAAAACTGTACCCTGGGGGACTCCACTAAGCACAGTTTCCCAGCTAGACAACTTGGAGTTCAACCGTACTCTTTATTGACGCCCAACTAGGAAGTCTTTTATCTACATCAATAGATTGCCTCCAATCCCGACATTCCTTAGCTTATATAACAGCCGGTTGTGCGGAACTTTATCGAAAGCTTTGCTGAAGTCGATGTAAGCTACGTCTACAGGTGCCCCCAAATGCCCTGGTGGGGAGAGTCACCTCTTCCTCTCGAAATGCTCTCATATGGCTAACACCCAGAAACTGGAGACCCAACATAGCAGAACAGACTGTAGACACAACTTCTACTCCGTAAGAGTTGTCAAATGCTGGAATTCGCTGCCAACTGAGCTAGTCCAAGCGACTTCCCAAGTGTCCTTTAGTAGGAAACTTGACCTATTCTTAAGGACTAAGGATTAAGTATTATTATTATTTACCAATTTTTGTTTACATTATTGAGGACTGGATATTAACTTACGTCTTGAAGAACCCGATGTTTTGTAGTGTGTGTTACGCTTGCTTGTTCACTTCTAAGTCAGGGCTTTGTAACGTAATCACATTCTCAATCTTAAAATTTTCAATTTTTACTGTAATATTGCCTTACTCCCGCTCCTGTACTATTGTGGTATTCGAACGTTTACTTTCATCATCGAATGTTAGTGTAACCCAGTTGTTTAGTGAGTCGATTAAGTCAATTGGCTTAATTCTTGTTTTTTTTCTTATTTCAGAATTCCTCATACAGACTATTATGTACATGCCTCCAGCCCAAAACCTTCGTTAGGGTTGTAAATAAATTCATTAGTTTTAACTTGACGTTTTGTGTTGGAGTCGGGACCTGGTTTATTCAAGATCAATGGGACGTGCCTTACTCTGCAGGCTTCCCACTTTTTGCAGCTTACGAGCCAGCCACAAAAATTTCGTAAGTCTGGCGACCAATTTATCTCTCGCATTTGTGAAAAAATGTTTACGAACTAAGGTTTCCATGTGACGTAATGTCTATATCGCCCTGCACATTCAGTCCATGTAGGACTTGCTCTTTCTTGTATGCATCCCCCCTGCCATCAAGAGTACGGTCGTCCGTTCTCGTGATTTATTACCTTGTGCATAATACCTAGTTATCAGTGCCCTCCAAACTTCTACTTACTGACTTCTCTCAGCACGGGTGTTGTTTACGAAATTGAGAGGACGGAAAGCAAATATCTGGTGCTTTAACCGGTTAAGTGGATATGTGGATCCACTTATGGGGGTCGGAAAACCCCTTATTCTAAACCAATGGTACACATGGGTTCCAGCAGCCTTAGGGATCAAACGGTGAATGAACCTATTGTTGGTCACCGGCTACCATGGTACCGCATCTCCTTATGTTGCTCCACTGCCCTGTGCACTTAACCTTTAAGTTAAAGGCTCCGGAGAGAGGGCCCCTAAGAAAACCAACTGCTTTGGTTTGAGCGTCCATGCAGTGTTCCTCTCACCAAATTGAATGACGAAGTGTGGCGCATATGTATTTGGTGTCTCCTTGTGCCAAAGTTTGTGTCTAAATAAAATCCAGACTCCCAGGAGTCGCTTTGCTTGTGTGACGGAGCACTTTTCAAGCACTGCATTGTGATCTGAGCATAGTAAGAGACTCAATTTTCCGAAATACGGTCACCTACTGTTTTTTTACTCAAAATTTGCAGCGACCTTCTGACTGACAAACAGACTGCACTACGAAGACTTTTCCACGCGCTCGTAAATGGACTATCTACTAATTTCTAGGACGATGCCATACTATAATGCGTTATAGTTTATTAGACTTCGGTACATGCGTCTATGAGGTTCTCACTGTCTACCTTACAAACACTCATGCTGCCCTACGACACCCAAGAACATTTATGTCCTTGACCTTCATAGCCCTCTCGCTGCTGTGTATCAGTAAGTTTGTTCGTTAATCTACAACCATCGTTCTGTGAAACATTTGGTAGCTTCAAGGTGATGTAGTGACGGCTCTCTGCAATCACCTGAAGTCCAGACGATGAGTATTTCACTCGTTTGTGCACCTTTTCATGTATTCAACATCAACCAGTCACTATGACTTACCATTTTTGATTTATTTTCTGCTCATCATATTGAGGGACTGTGATTAGGGCCTCAAGAGAATGGACGGATGTGTTGATATTAAAGCTATTGCGTTCAACGATATTAATGCAATTATGCTCTTTCTGTTACGCACATAACATTTTCACGTTCTTAATCATACATTCATTTTATTTTACATGCTATTATTACTAACATTATGATTACTATCTTTCTTGAAATAACTAGAACACATTAATTTATATATTGTACCAAGTTTTGACTCGTACAGTTTTTACATCTCAGACTCTATCGGCATAAAAGCTATTCTTTTGTATGTACAGTACTGACTAATTCAACCAGAACGTTCATATGCATACTTTGTTGTATCTGATTTAGTACAATTATCATAGATTTGTAATTGTAGAGTCTGAAGTTATCGAAAACAATTATCCGCTCTAACGTCCTTTGATTTTGCAAGTTATTTACAAGCTTAAATTAATAAAACAGTTAAATTTGATAAGCATACAGAATAAAACGCTCTCGACTTGAACTTCATGCTTTTCATGATATAAGTATTACTTTCATGCTTTCCTCCAGAAAGAAACATTTCTAGTCGATATCCTCCAGTGTTGTAAATTGTTTTGTGCCGTTTACTTACATTCTGCTGTATTTAATGGTTCAGGTGGAATCCAAAAACCCTGATAAGCAGCTGTTTGAGGTTTTAAAATATTTTAATGTTAACAAAGTTTCCTTGGAGATATTTTTAGCTGAACCCACCCCATCATTCACTAATTATTTTGTCTAGAGCACTTATAAACAATGGAATACTATCATATGCATCAGGCTACTCATTTGTGCTAAACATCATCCTGACAGGTGACGTTATGCATAACTAAATGTATGTAACATTATTGTGTAACTCAAAACGCTCCTCCACTGAGTTTATACTCAAAATATTTATGCATATTCTTGTATACTGCCTAACTACTATGGTAAAATAAAATATAGTTAACACCATATTGTAGCCTATTTACAAATAAGGATCCATTACACAGTATGAGTCATAGTATATATGACTTAGTGGTGGGGTCTGTAATTTTGCTGAAAGGTTAGCTTTTATTTTTCAAAATTTACCTGATCGTAGGAACTCCATCTATTAACGTGTCCCTATTAGTAGTAAGGCTATGTTCATTACATATTACTGATTCCCTCAAGTTTTCCAGGGTCAAAAATGTAGTATTTGTTTCCTAAATATCTACAAATCCTTTATCCAAATTGAAATCCATTACCACTGTTAATTGTTTCCTCCCTTTTTAGACTCATTCTAGTCATCACCATACTAACTAAACTACAATGCATCTTCCCTGTTTATTATATGTAAACCCATCGAAACTGTGCTCATATTTTCGTCTTCGTTTCGTACGACATCTGGTTTGTTCTTTATTTGTTATTCATCCCATTTTTCAAGTCTTACATTAAATCGGCGACAATCGATAACGAGGTACACATTTTAACGTTGAATAATCCTATGAGTGCTAATTCACTTTCTTTGCCGTTGATGAAAGAACTTCTCACGGTTTTGGAGTCGATCAAGTTGTCTCAGAATATTAAAGCTTTAGTGATTACTGGTGAAGGAAGATTTTTTTCTTCTGGACATAATCTTCACGAGGTTATCAAAATTTCTGATACAAACTCAAATGAAATCTTTTCAACGGCATCAGAGGTAAATTGATTTATATTCTATTCATTTTACTGTTTAGTTTTACCAAGTTAGAGTAACTTTGAATCACTTACTATAGACAATTCATTAACTTACTGGTTATCAACCTGAGCCATATAGGATAACTGTATTTGAACGATCGCTTACATTCAGTAAGAACATTACATTAGTATTACTGTTGTAGCCTACTTGTTAGGACGTTTGATTTTCAACCACCAGTTTGGGGGATCGAGTACTGTTTCACCTATTTCTGTGTGGTCAACATGGTATTATCACTAGCTCTTACAGATAAAGCACGGCTCAAAGCCAAATATACAAAGCTACACTTAGTGAATTACGTCAATACTGAGGTCCGGAAATTCGTGTTCTAACATGATAATTAGTGTTAAGGTCTCCGAACACGGTTTTTTAATGGCTTAATCCCTTTTCATGAATTTCACATCAGACTTCCAAATCGTTTGACGTCACTAATGCAGAATGGTAAAACAACAAAGTGGTCGGTTTGAAATGTGCAATAAAGTATAGTTGTGCTGGATTAGGGTTTGTTGACTCATCATGGCCTTCTGGATAGGACTGAAGATGGTGTGCAACTCATTGAATCGAGGCGTTATTATATATGACTCAGTCAAATTATTTATTTGATTTAACCCCTACCGTTCTCTTATAATATTGTCAACTTGCCTCACGTAGCGCATTTTTGACACCATATTGTGACAATATTAACAGTAGTCAAACAAACGGTTTTAGAAAATTTGTATATCACAGCAAAAGAGCTTACACTGTTCGTATATGGCTCAGAGTGATAACTATTAAGCTTACTGATTACATAAATTTATTAAATATGCTTATTTCTGTATAACAGTGTTTAAGGAAATGTGGATGATTAAACCCATATCCATCTTACTCGATTTAATCAACCGGGTAGTATCAGTAGATATAAAAAATACGTGGCCTAAAGCCGATTTCATGAACTTACACTTGCTATGTTACATTTATTTAAGCCGACGCAGAACCTTTTGCAATAATGTTTAGTTTCACCTCTTCACACTCCGGAGCTAGATAAGTAAAGAAAGTGAAGTGGTGACTCAGAAGAAAAACGGAATTATGAGGTAGTTAGAAAAAGTTATAATGATGAAATGGTTGGCTACTTGTATATAATAAGAAACATATGCTCTTGTCACACAAGAACTAATCAAACCATATTGTGGAACTACTTCAGTTCTAACACATCTCACGGCAGTAGTTAACGACTTCGTGAATTAATGTCACGTCTAAAATTCATCTTTCTAACGTTTTCTCTTCGTGGTCACCTTGGACAACAATACATTTTCTTATATGTACGATGTATGAAATACTTTACTCATTTTGATTGATGAAGGTTTAAAACTCTATAAATCAATACACGTTTCTTATCTTATACTTTACATCTATGGTCTAACTTAATGTCAGTATTCTGTCGAAAAACCACTGAGTACTGAATTCACTGAATTTTTTAACGCCATGTAGTAAATTAGAGTAATTTGTTGTGGTATATACCATTATTTTGCTAAGATTTTGCTATCATATCATGGGTGCAAAGTGACAAATACTAGTACAATCTTTTGTTTGCTCGTAAAGACTTCATATACCGCCAATTCACATGAATCTGTCGTTATATCTAAAGTATTGATATGATTAACAGTTATTTAAATCCCTATAGTCAAAACCAGTTCTAAGAAACCATCTTTAATTGGTAATATTGTTGAGGATGTTAAATCTGTGAGTGCTACTACATGTAGGAAAAGATCGATTCACATTGGTTTTCGGTGAACTTCGCTCATGGACTTTCAATATATTTTTATATGTATCAATTTACCCAGTATGCAGTTAATTTATTTTCGAATCATTTACATTATTTTAATGCTCTGTAGTTTTACGTTCAAGTGACGATTAACTATTTTGATAAATTTTGTATTAATTGATCGATATATAATTCAACTAACTCTATTGTAATTAAATTCTTCTGTGGTCTTGAGCAGTACATCTCTTTTTATAAGACTTTTCTATTTCATCCATCGCATGGTGTGATGATCGCTGAAGTGTTATGTATTAGTTATCCGATCTGTTCAGTTCGCAAGGACCCCATCTCGTATTGCAAAAATCTCCCATACCATACTCAGTCTTAATCTACAACCAGGTCATAAGCGTATGCCTTGAATAATTCAATGTTACCACAGTAAATCCAGGGAACGATTTTTGATCAACGTCTTTTTTAGTAATAATATTTCATCGCTACATAACCAAAGATATTTCGAGAAAGAAAGTATGAGGCGATGGTTGAGTGTAGTTGACGAGAAACCATGGACCCAAGTTCCGTGCTATTTGGTATTCATCAGCAAGGTGTACCTGTAACCTTAAGGGGACTAATGCTCCCTGATTGATCCGATCTCGTTTCATCCAGCTTCACAGTCAGAGACGTGGCCACTTAGCTATCCGCACCGTAAATAACCAGTAGGCTTGAGGTATGTTTACAATTGATTGAGCACCAGTTATCTTAGGATTACAGATACACCTCGTGGACAAGTGCCAAATATCACGAAACACAAGGTCCAGTATTTCCCATCGATTAACTCCAACCATCACCTTACATCTCAACATAGTGTACGCGATATCGAGTCGCTTAGGCTAGAGGCTACTTAGCAACTTGACTGCTAGAATTCCATTGGCACTATGTGAAGACTGAAAATGCATCACATTGATCACTACTTAGTTATCAATTAATTATCGTGAAAAGAAGTATAGAATGTAAAGCTGATTGTAAAAGTCATTGTTTCTAACCATTAAATAAATATGCATTATTTCATCAGACATTTTTACAGACAAATTGATGTATCCTGAAGTTGTTGTTTAAATTTTGAATTAATAGATTATGGAAAAATTAGCTGAATTTCCTATACCATCGATAGCATCTGTAAATGGTCCTGCTGTCGCTGGAGGTTGTCAATTAGTTGCAGCATGCGACTTGGCAATATCAGTCAAATCTGCGATATTTTCAGCTAGTAGTATTAAACTAGGATTATTCTGTAGTACACCTGGTGTATCATTAGTTCGAGCGATTGGATTACGAGCTGCTAAGGAATTGCTTTTAACAGGTAATCAATAGATTTATACCCTATATATATATATATATATATATATATATATATATATATATATATATAATTTAGGTCATTTTTAATTGCCTCTTCATGTTTCTGGACACAGATGTAGACATTTCTTGAAACACCTCGTAGTTAAAGACGTTAGAATAAGGAAAACAGAACCCATAATATTCATACTCTTTATTTAACTTGAATGTAGGTTTGGTTTATCTGCCCGTATTGGCATTCCTGGCTGTAAAACTTAGGCAAGTTAATTTTGATTGGACTGTTAAAAATGTTCTTTGTAATGCATTAAACGATTGGAGATCAATGAATCTCACTGATCTGAGTCATCATTGTACAGTAAAATTTCTTTACATTTTCCCTTCACTCCAGCTAGTTTATAACTCTATACGTTATAATAAGCTACACATTACTAATATAATAACTTTTATAGTAAAATAGATTTAGAAACGTTTAGATCAAGACAACCAAGTGATCGATGATAAAAAGTTAAAAAAAGTAAGTAGGCATGTGTCATAAACTAATATCTTGCCGGATTCATAACGTGAGACTTCTACACTATGCTGATACATATCGGAACAGCATGCTGTTTTACCCGGTTTTCTGAACAAATTTTAGCAAGAATTAGCAAGTATTTTTGTATCATAAATGGTAACATTTTGCTACCATATTTTGATACGTATGTGTATTGTAGATGTGGATGACTGATCTAATTAAGTTTAATAGGAAACGTTTGACCACTATCTTCGTTCTTTTTACATTCAATACCTATTGTTTCTCTGTATCAATTGGAAAAACGGATATAATTGTTTGGTTATACCAATTCATACATTTCATATCCCTACGAGAATAATGATTGGTAACTGTTGAGATCCATTTATGAACTAATATTATACATACATTTTTATTGTATAATTGTCAAGTAACTATGTATATTAATATTCCTCTCATTATAAGCTTTATTTTGACCTACAGACTATTATTATACGATTTACCATTCTTAAGTTATGCCCAGTCTATTACCTATAGTCAACCACGATCACAGCCACTTTTTGACTTGATCTTGCACAATTGTTATTTTCTATTTATGGTGTGATGTGGTCTGTTTGGCTTGTATATAAACTCAATATGTTTGAAATATATGGTTCATATCGCGGAGGCTGAGATTTGTGTTCTGGACTTAACAGGCAGGGAAATGGGCCAGTCGGGACTCTAGGCCGTTCGTTCAGGTGTATGTGTCATTTGTTGGTCGTATAAGTCCGCGTATCTAAATTTGGTAATCGTATTATCTAAGTACATGACAGTTTTACCTTGTATTGCACCATTGCGGTATCATGTTTGAGATTTAACAAACGTTGACACTCAGTTGTGACCGTTTGCAGAGCCGTGTTAGATTACTGCTCAACGCGTTTTAAAATTCTGGTGTGGATGTCCCCATCTTCTGGATTATTTAATCTATAGATAAGAAGCAGACATTTAAATTGATCCGCTGTAGTTTCACTTATTTTAAACCGGTCACATTCTCGATGTACTTTTCCAGCATAGGTGAGATAGTTGTTGGATGGGATTTTGATATTTGAAAACACTGGTAGCGAATGTTGAGTGATGAGTATTGTTCCCCGAAGATTTTAGGTAGTATTTGGACTGTGCTATTAAAAGATAAATGCCGACGATTTTGTGACAGGATGAAATTCGCATATTTATTATATTCACGTGTGCTAAGTCTTCTCAGAAGTAGGCGAACCTTAGCTGCGCCATCGAGATTTCGACATGGAATATGCTTTTGAAACGATGAAACCGAGAATCCAATACGATACTCGATTCAGGATCATAGTTGAATTCACAAATGGAATTTGCAATGCTTTCATGTTTATCTGATTGAAAGGTTGAAGTTTAATGAAAGGAAAGCTTCTGCGTCAATTCGTCCAAAAGCTTCATTTGATTTTCATCACTCTGCGCTTGCTGAATTTGTAGAATAGTTTTAAGGTCGTCCAAACTTACTTACTTACTTACGCCTGTTACTCCCAATGGAGCATAGGCCGCCGACCAGCTTTTTCCAACCCACTCTGTCCCGGGCTTCCTTTTCTAGTTCTATCCAGTTCTTGTTCATTCTTCTCATGTCTGTCTCTATTTCTCGGCGTAATGTGTTCTTTGGTCTTCCTCTTCTCCATTGACCTTCAGGATTCCATGTGAGGGCTTGTCTTGTGACGCAGTTGGGTGATTTCCTCAAAGTGTGCCCTGTCCACTTCCAGCGCTTCCTCCTGATTTCTTCCTCCGCTGGAATCCGATTTGTTGTCTCCCACAGTAACTTGTTGCTGATAGTGTCTGGCCATCGGATCCGAAGTATCTTGCGTAGACAACTGTTTATAAACACTTGTATCTTCTGCATAATGGCTTTCGTAGTTCTCCACGTCTCCGCATTTGTCTTCACATTTGTATTGAAAATTCTGATCTTGGTGTTGGTTGACAATTGTTTTGAGCTCCAGATGTTTTTCAGTTGTAAGTATGCTGCTCTTGCTTTGCCGATCCGCGCCCTCACATCTGCATCTGATCCACCATGTTCATCAATGATGCTGCCCAGATATGTAAAGGTTTCCACATCCTCCAAAGCTTCTCCGTCAAGTGCAATTTGATTGGTGCATATTGTGTTGTATCGGAGAGTCTTGCTTTCCTCTTTGTTTATATTGAGACCTACTGCTGCTGAGGCTGCTGCTACACTGGTCGTTTTCTCCTGCATTTGTTGTTGCGTTTGTGATAGAAGAGCCAGCTCATCCGCGAAGTCTAAATCGTCAAGTTGCATCCTGCCTGTCCACTGTATCCCGTGCATTCCTCCAGATGTTGACGTCTTCATAATCCAGTCGATGACCAGGAGAAAGAGAAAGGGTGAGAGTAAGCAACCTTGCCTAACACCGGTCTTTACTTGAAACGAGTCGGTGAGTTGTCCTCCGTGGACGATTTGGCAGTTTAGTCCATCATAGGAGTTCCGTATGATATTGACTATCTTCTCAGGCACGCCGTAGTGTCGAAGAAGCTTCCATAGTGTCGTCCTGTCCACGCTATCAAATGCCTTCTCGTAGTCGATGAAGTTGATGTAGAGTGATGAATTCCATTCGATTGATTGTTCCACAATGATCCGCAGAGTTGCGATTTGATCTGTACACGATCTATCCTTACGAAATCCAGCTTGTTGCTCTCGAAGTTGGGCGTCCACGGAATCCTTCATCTTGTTTAACAATACTCGGTTGAAGACTTTCCCTGGTATTGAGAGGAGAGTTATGCCCCTGTAGTTGTCGCACTTGCTGAGGTCGCCTTTCTTTGGTATCTTGATCAGAAGTCCTTTTTTCCAGTATATTGGTACTTGTTCTTCGTCCCAAATCTTACTGAGGAGGATGTGGAGTATTTTGGCAGTTGCTGTTACATTTGCTTCCAGTGCCTCTGCCGGGATGTTGTCTGGTCCCGCTGCTTTGCCACTCTTGACTTGTCTAATGGCCATGCTGATCTCTTCAATTGTTGGTGGGCCAACATCGATTGGGAGGTCTGTGGGTGCTGCTTCGATGTTGGGTGGAAGGTCGTCCAAAGATATAGTAATTTTGTTTTGGAGCAATCGACACAAAAATATCTGTCGCCACTTTTGTTACGTCTTTGATCTGTCTACTCAAAAATATACAGGAGAAGACTTGTCTCGATATAGGTTAAGGCCTTGACACGATAGGCTAGAAATGCGTAAGTTCGAATTGAGACTAATGGTCTTGGTTAGAGAAAGACGAAAAACTATTTTATCATGTGGTTAGTTGACAAGCGAGAGAGAGAGAAAAGACAAGTCAACTAGAATACATGAATAATTCCCAATTCAGATTAGCGTAAAAAGGATACATGAATAAATAAATGTCTAACATGTCCACAACGTACAAACAATTAGGGAAATAGAATTATGTTCAAACTGGTCATTAGGGTAGAAAAATAGAGTACCAAAGGTTACGTTTAAATTGCAATGGCTTTGGAATAGAGAGGGGTATGGCAGTTAATCATACATCAAACGAAAACTTATGGTTTACAGAATAACTAGGGACAAAACGAAATGTTAGTATTTTACAAGCTTTGAATTAAATGAAATAACATCCCAAAAATAGCTTCCATTTTTTGTCATGACTTCTTTGTTTTTCCGTTCATATCGAGTATGCTTGTCTTTCGATAAACAAGTGGACATCTCATCTCCATAAGTGACGAAAAGGCGGGATATTCGCATACGTGTTGGGATTCTGTCAGTCGCTAGCTGCACTAGGTAATGTCAGGCCTTGATGAAAATATCTCTAAATTGAACTAATCCCCACAAACCTTCCAACCAAATTATCTTACATTTTTGCTCGTATGACTTTTCATCAATGTATTCAGTTCTACAAAAAATCCCATTCCTTGACGTCTTTCTGAAGAGAAACAAAACTTTGTTTTTGTAGGCAAAGCTATAAGTGCTGATAGAGCCTACGAATTGGGTCTTGTTCATCGTGTAGTTGAAGATGACAAACTATATGAAGCTTCTATTGAATTCGCGAAAGAAATTACTCAACATAATAAAGATGTTGTACAGTTAGGTCGAGAAACACTTCACAAACAAGTAAGTTTTCTGGAAATAAATAATTTCGATATTTTGCTTTTTTCATGATTAAACTCAAACATTGGTATTAAGGTGTGGGAAGAGTCCCAAAAATATCTCTCGATGAGTCCTTAGTGGTCCAGAAACCCCAGAAAGCTTGTTATCCAATCAGCGTCGAATAGAATCTTCGCAGAAACATCTGAAAAACATAGTAACACATGCCACGGTTCGGATTGGATAAGTACCTATGTAACTGCTATAGTTAGTATGGTTCCAGAAGCCCAAGGTCGCCTGAAATAGTATAAATGCCCTCATTTTCCCGTACCTTTGATAACCTTGGAGTAATGTGTTCTTTTTACACTTCGCGCGTTTTCCCTCATGTTCAAGTCGCCGTGTGGATTGAGCTTGAGGTTATTAGAAGAGCTTGGGAAACCGATTCATCACTTCTTATGTGTGAGCTCGAATGCTACCCGGGCACTCAAACTGAAGCAGGTGGGTTTCTCAGACAGCCATCACTCGAACCTTTGGTTTATAAATTTAATTCACAAGGCAGTGGGTCAACATTAGGACATGCAGTCTTATGGTACCCAGTGACTAAGAACAGGTCCATACACCATTTGTCTCCTCAAGATCCTGAAGTTCATGTGTACCATTGGTTTGAAATCAGGGTTTTTTACATGTCCTAGATGGATCCTCCATACACAGCAACCCCGTTTAAGTGCCAGATATTCGGTTTTGCCCTATCATTTTCCTCCACGGGAAGGCAGTAAGACTTCCCTGGTAGTGGCTGTATACGTTCGGTTATATATGAGAACATTTCGAGAGTTGGAGCGGACTCTTCCAACCTTCAGCTGTATTATGGCATTAGGGCGCATCAATAGTAGTCCCTAATGTCGACAATAGTTAATCACAGACCCCCCTTACTGGTGTTTCATTCGGGTTTTCATTTTGTTTTTATTTTTTTTTGACCTAACAGGCTTCTATGCCATTGATGGATGCTTATGCAATAGCTTCAAATGCGATGGTTAAAAATTTACAATTCAATGATACCAAACAATGCATTCAATCATTTTTAAATCGGAAGAAATAAACAAATAGATCCATGTAATTATGATTCTTATGTTGATACTTATTTTTCGTTTGATTGTATATGTACATATTTATGCACTCACATGCGCGTCTAGACCACCTATACTATAACCTCTGCACATTTCAGATAATTAAAAAAAAAAGAAAACTCATCATATTAATCTTTTTTCTTAAGTCATTTTTCAGTATCATTTTACTTTTCCGTTGAAATGAGAGAAAATATAGAAAATTAGCTTAATTTTGAGTTCTACCAATGTGTTCTCTTCTAATTATTTCGTTTACTTGAATAACTCTATTGTATGCTTGTTCGTTGTTTATGTTCATTTTTTTTAACCGTGTGTTAGTTAGTACTTGGGTGCAGTAGTTGAACCTTGTAATTTCGACTGCAAATTTCCGATCACAGTACTAATCACTTCAAAAGGGATTTCACAAAAATCACAATTTTTATGTTTGGGCCCTTGAATCTGGCACATTTAAACCCACGTTGTGAATGGCTGGTTTTCAAATATATCTTAAAAATGATTGAAATACTCACTTTATTTTGCCTGAATTGTCGTCCATCACAGTGTTAAGAAACCTTTGTCTTTTTAGTAGTTTGAAATTAGGTCATGGGTCAATGGGAGTATAATACGGGTTCTGTTGAAGAGTATTTGCATAAATTCATTATCCGGTTAATATTTTGATTAACATAACATATATGAATGGCAAACAGGACTGTTCAATGACATTGTTTAACTTATCATTGTGTACATTGATGTGTTGAATGTAGGACTATGTGACTTGGTGTTATAACGGTCCTATTCCTTGTTTACACGAATGGGACTCTAATTTTCCTTAGACGAATATCTACACTAGATTCCCTCCCAGTGTCTACTCCACAGTACTTCAACACAACTCAGATCAAGAACATGTGATTGGCCTGACAAGAACGTAAATATATTTCCACACCAAAACCGACACAATCCAACAGCAAATGGACAATTAATAAATAATAATGATAGGGGAATGTATAACTCATGTGACACCTGTCAGACTATCTACATGTCTGACTAAGCAGACAACCAATCATTATCATTCTCGCCCGCACATCACTTGGAAATCTTAGCTGTTGTCTAGACCAACTAAACTGTATACTAGAATTATGTCTACTGTTGCTCATCTATAACAACTCTGGACCGATTTCGGATTCATCTGTTGTTCATATACCGTTCAAACAGACTAATGACTATTTTCGCATATGTAAATATCCATTGTCCATAGTTCAACCTGAAATATGGATTTAGCCTATTGATTGTATCGGAAGCTTGCTTGGTTCTAAATAATCAGTGGGGAGATCCTCTTTAACTTCTCATACCATCTTAACAAGATTAGTATTTAGTAAGCAGAGATGGATAGTGGCTAGCAGTGGAATCCAGGACGCGCGTTTCGTCCTATTTGGGACTCGTCAGCTGTATGTACCTGCATTTCAGAGTTGATGTTCACTCTTGGACTCGAACCCAGTACCCTCGCTTCAAACGCCATCGCGTTATCCACTCGGCCACTGAGTCCTGATAGCCACTTGCTTGTGCGATGGGGTGAAGTTTGAATTCACTTAGTATTGTTTGTTTGGATCTTCCCACGATTTGTTAGGACTGCAACTGATCAGTCTCCCCATCGCACAAGCAAGTGGCTATCAGGACTCAGTGGCCGAGTGGATAACGCGATGGCGTTTGAAGCGAGGGTACTGGGTTCGAGTCCCAGAGTGAACATCAACTCTGAAATGCAGGTACATACAGCTGACGAGTCCCAAATAGGACGAAACGCGCGTCCTGGATTCCGCTGCTTACCATGCTTGTGAATTAAGGTATATCGAGGCAATACGCACAGTATGCACATATGCCAATTAGAGACTGACCAGTTGCAGTCCTAAACACATTGATGGTAAGATCCAAACAAACAATACTAAGTGAATTCAAGATTAGTATTTGTTTAATTACCTTTATTTTAAAATCCTACATTTAGCCACTCTCTGTAATGGCAACGTTATCGAGTCCAGCATCAATGTTCAGGTATTGCAGTTTTTAAAGCTAGACATAGTTTACCTATCAAACTCAAACTAAATAAGTGATATCGTTTTATTTACTCACTTATCTATATCACAACGATTCAGGATCTTAATCACTTTCAAAATGGAGGAAAATTCACAAGGTAAAAATAATTTGATTACAAAAAATGAAACAGTAACTGACATATCAAATCCCCAAGTAAATGATAATTCACTGATTAGTCGAGCAACTGAAGCTGTTCGTGATTATTTGGAATATGATTTTGAATGTAAGTCTGTGGATTATTTTCAACATTTTTTTCAAAGTATGGATAGTTCATTCGAGTATACTAAGACCTGTAGCGAAGTGAGATTTGCTCAGGATGTAAGTATGCGTACAGAGACAGGTCAATTTCAGTATATTGGAGACTTTTATTAATGTATTCATACCTGTTGGACAAGTTTTTGACTGTTTAGAGTAAGTAGCTTAGTAAATATCGTGTTGTTTGAATCGGTTGTTACTGCATTGTAATCAATATGAACATCAACATTGGGGTGTAGGTACTAGTGTAGTGTGGTCTACTTATATCCTTGTAACTAGTATATGGTGTTGGTCAGACATAGAATGTATTTCGGCAGAAGACCGATAAGGAATGAACTGAAATGAAAAGCAGTTGGTAGGAAAATGCATAAACAATGACATTAGAGCATATATATATATATATTCCACGTTCCTTAAACAAAAGATAAGTTTTGGCCAATCGCGTACACTTATCATTCGGTCGAGGGCCTGATGCATTAAGATTTAGTCCAGTTAAAAAATATAGTTTGGGAGAATTCCTTCCATTAAATTGATTTCGTTCAGTGTAACGTAAAAATATGCTAGGAGACAAGAAATGGGATTGTGGAGATTTAACTTGTTCAATTTTTTTAATGTGATAGTGTTTGTGTTTTTTTCGTATCTCGTGTAATATGACTCATAAATTAACTCAGAATGGGTCACTGATTTTTAAAAATATACTTTGTGTTCGTCTAAATAGACCCAGTACATCTAGATAACTTTTTCAGCGCATTTCTCAACACTTTTTTGAAGAAATAAGCCAATACAAGGAAGCAGACACAATGATCGTTGAAATTTGAAGAGACCACGTTGTTTTGCATACTATTTAGACCTCAACATAGCCTCATTATTGTGTATATATTGGTAATTTGCACATTATATCAGGTTTGTGAAAGTTAGTGGTTATTATTGACATTAATTTCACTCGAGGACTCAGACTGGATGATTGATCGGTGCGTAAAATCCCAGATATCGAACATAGGATTCGTCTACAATACTATATTATTACTAATAGCACCATAAGCAATACATTATACAAATCTCGATTCAAGCCGTGTGTACTAGCAAAACAACTATCTAATAAACAGTAACCACTTCGACACAATTATGCCAGACAACAATACGAAATAGGAACTGTTCACAATAAATATGGAAGCGGTTACAGATAAACAAATGTTCAGTAAGCATGCAAAAAAATTATAAATTATTAATAATACCAAGGAAATGAAGTTACAATAAATACTCGAGCAAGTGTCACCGATTTCTTGAAGTACCTAGAAACATCTCACGACAACTTAATGGCATTACAAATGGTATGCTCAAAAGTGATTTTCATTGACATAAGTTACTGAATATTGGTAAGTAATATAATACACTAAAGGTAACTGAATGTAGACAAAAGTTACAAGTGGGATGAATTGCGTTTAAATTTAAAAGTATTAGAAATTGATTGTTTTAACACGCTTGGAGATAAGTTCTTGTTTTATTTTTGCGCATAACACTTCTTTTATAAAGATTTAAAATCTTATTTTAGTCGTTCTAATCTGTATTTTCTTAGGTCTTGTTTCTGATGTCAATATATTAACACGTATGAATCAAGCTTCAAGTGAACGTTACATGGAATTAACTACAAATACAAATGATATGACAAGAAAATTAACTGATGTGAACAATCGCTGTAAGTTTGATATTATAATTGATGTCAAACTCCTATTTCTTTGTTTAGTTCATCATAAGTAATTTATTTGTAAAACCAACGTAAAATATAGCTAGTTGATTGATATATGATCTGTGGATTAACAAGAGTCAAAGTGGACTTGTTTTTATTAGAGAAGCAAATAGACAATTCAGTGTAAAACTGATACTCCGGGTCAATGGAACATAGATCAGATGATAAATGTGAAGTACTGACGGGGCACATTATTGATTAAGGTTCAGTTTCACTTTCAGGACGAATAGATGTACATCATTGACTAAAAATCCGGCTTAAGTTTCTGAGAGAAATGCACATATATTTCTGATTTGTGTATATATTTTCGATTCAGTTATCCTTCAAAAGTTTCCTGATCACTCTTAGTTTTCCCATTTAAGTACTTCGTTTGGCCTCGTGTATAGGAAATTTTTATATCGATGTCAGACTCGGACGACCTTGGAAGATAACAGAAATATGTCACATAAGTTCAGGTTGTTTTACTGCATAAATGTACAGCAAATACTCGCTAATAGAAATTTCAAGATTTAAAAGATGAGATCACTAACAATCAATCACTGTTTTACAAGAGTGACCAAATCAAGATTTGGCATCAGTCTGTAAAGTTATTGACTGTTGGTTTGGGCAGATGTTGATGGGTTCAGATCACTTGTTTGAGCTCTATGGGATTATCGTGATCAACAATTAGGTGATATCGGTCAGAATTAGTCACAGTAATGCACATTTATTCACATTTTATCTTCCTTTGAACCTTCTGCTTCAATATTCATTCGTACATATCGTTTCTTGTATCTTTCTGAATTATATCTTCAATTTTTAACCTTTCTCATTATTGCCGCTACAATTGTCATTGCGACACTGTTGCTGTTTATCTTGCCAATTGCATCTTGTCGTATTGAACCGACCTACATTTGTACTAGACTCTATACTGATTGTAACTGACTGACGAATCTCACGTCAGTACTACAAGAGAGAAAGTTAACATGATGAAAGTGGATGTGAACAGTTAGTTTCAAATGCTTCAAAGGAATGGGAAGTTAAAATGGACACGTAAGTCAAGATACATATGAAGATCGAGAAGAGATACAACAACTGTACAATTGAAACAGGCTTTGTCCCATTTGACTCGTCGTTTCTAACCATTGATTTTAAGTACTTCACCATCAAAGTTGGAACTAAAGAAATCAAGAATTAACAGTAATTTAAGTAGCCTTTTTTTGGTACTGCAGCTTCATAGGGAATATATACTTCAATTTAGTGAAATTTTCCGAATGATCCGAAGTTGATTCTTTGGAAGCAACTTTATCGCTAATGTTTTGTAGACGAAAACACTCACCAGGAAACCCTGTTTAACGCAGATTTCGTACCATTTGAGACTTGTCATACAAGGTGTAATTATGATCTTGATAGAACTGATAGTCTCGTCATCCCATTTTCATAGTTTGAGGCCTTATCATTGAGCTCTTCATGCCATGACTGGCCTCCTGTAGACCTAATATATTTGTATTAATAATTGTTTCATCACTGAGTTGTGCCTGTATCATGTTTATTTTGTCCCTGATAATAATCATGTTTTATTGAGCGACTACGATTCCCTTCTAACTACTTTCAACCATCTAATATAAAAACATAATACATGTGACATCGAGGCCAGTAGATCAGTTGGCACATTGGAATTTACTGATCGATAAAATATGATCTGCATTAAAATGAACTAGACAAACATGACATTAATCACTTCTCAGTAACTAATCAATTGTAACTATCACTGTTTCGTTGCACTTTTATGTGTCGTAATTACGAAAAGAATTTTTAAAGTTATTTATTCTTAGTTCTTCCAATAATTTCTCAACATTTTCCTTTTTTCGTTTGTTTTTAATCCTGTTTAGTTGCTTCATTAAGTGATGCGCTGAAGAAAATTGATCAGTTCGATAAGGATATAGAACAGTTGGAGAAAAAAGCGTTTGAAATTGAAACTTCAACCAAACAACTAGGTAGACATAATGTTTCTGCGTTTAATTATGAAATAAGAACAAAAAACAGGGATTCTAGCTGATCTGAAGTAGTTTGCGTGGTGATTTGTTTAGTTCGTAGGTTTCATTCATCGCATTTAGAGTAACATTGGAAGCTAAGGGGAGCATCAACCAATTGTTTCGCTATAGTTTAAGATTCTTCCTCAGTTGGCATTCAAGATCCTATCAGGAATCGAGCCACAAACTTTTAGGTCTTTCTGTAGACGTTTAACCATTAGAACAACGAAAGACTTGCGGGACGAAACAGCTATCCAGTGTTCTCTAGTTACCAATTTTACCCTAAATACGATCAGTTGGTGATTAATGAAACCTATAAATTTATATTTTAAATTTTGTTTTGTTTTGAAAACTGTCAATTTATACACAGCACCTTGATAACCCGTCACATATCTTCTGACTTATCTAACGTTTGGCTAAAAAATGTTTAGTTTTAAAAGCACTCGCCTATAGAAGAAACGTAGAATCAAATTAACGACAAATATGATAGTAGCATATGCTGAAATAATAAATGCTATTCAAATTACATAAGTGTTCAAAATTAACAACCTTAGAAATTAAAAATTTCAAGCCATGTTGGAAAATAAGTTGAGAATTTCCCCACTTTAGAATTTTATTCCTATTCTTACATAGTCTGAATAATTTTATTGGAACATATTTTCTGTCACTGAATCTATGAACATTGATTATACAGCAATTTTTTGTTTTTAAGTCGGTTAAAAGTATATGGTGCGTTTTACTTGAATAGACACAAGTAGTATATAACGATAGTCAGGATTATAATGTCTGGCAGAAGAAGGTCGAGAAGGAGAGAACGGGAACAGAAAGCAATTGGTATGGAAATGAAGGAACAGTGAAGTCTGAGACGATTGATTGACATTTGCAAAGAAACAGTCAAGTTTGAAACAATTGATTGATATTTTGCAAATTAAGTATTTACTGTTCGGTTCTCAGATTTTAATAAGAGATTCTGTTATTGTTGGGGATGTCAAATCCCCAGAACTTACTTGATAAGTGGCTCAATTTTGTCAATTTATTCTGGAAATTTGAATTTAGCTGTTTTCGCGCCAAAACGTGCTCTTATTACCTTCACATCATATTTCCCACTTGTAACTATCTTAAACGCTATTGGTCCATTGTTTCTTTGTGTGTGCTAATTATTAACGATGCCCAAGGACATTTCGTTGCTGTATAAATACGCTTGACTTTTTCCCTTATTTGATTACTGTGCTTCTGGCTGCTACGGAATATAACTTCCCCGCTCCAACTTGGACTTCTTATTTTAGTTAGCTGGGTCTGGGTCGCGTCAGTATAGCTAGTTATCGGTCTCTCGTCACGTGTCTTTGTTCCGTTCGTTACTAGTGAACTCGTAACGCTTCAGATATATCAGTTATGTAGTATTTAATTGTATTCGATTGTCTCCACTTGTGTTCTCGTTCACTACATGTGTGGTATTTTAGTTCAGTAATAATTGATCACAGTTGTGGGCTTGCTACTCAGAGATAGATGAAGAACGTTGAAGAATTCGTATGTTATCAATAAAACCTATTCCACTCGTTTGTATAATATATTTTATGAGCTTTCGAATTAGAAAAATTCTCAGTAACTACCATTTTGAATTGTTTAAATAACATTTATCGTTTATTCGTTCTACTTGTCTAATTTCACAACTTTTTCTGTTTGTTATTACACCTGATTCATGAGACTGTAATTTATGGACGACTTTTAAGTGACTCTGAAGTGACCTTTAGGCAACTCACCTACCTTACTAAGGTCAATAAAAGGGTTATAAAGCAGTATGAAGTGTTAAGATTAGAATTTAGGGTTAGGAATTAAAGTAAGTAGTTTCAGGATTTCAATGGTGGTCTAACTTAGATTGGTTCATGATTTCAATGAAGTTCAACAATCTCCACAACCGCATATTGAAAATTAAAGCAAGGATTTTTATCATGAACTGACATCAGCTATAATTCCAAAGTGCTATTCAACTAGATAGACAAATGAATTTCTGGACAAAGTCGAAGACTTCGTATCTTTAATTTGATTGCTGCATACACAAATTGGTTTGTGGTGGACCGAGTATATCAATTCTAAAATAATGATAAACTTACTTACTTACGCCTGTTACCCCTTGTGGAGGAGCATAGGCCGCTCACCAGCATTCTCCATCCAACTCTGTCCTGAGCCTTCCTTTCCAGTTACTATTCAGCCTTTTCATATCTGCTTCTATTTCCCAGCGTAGTGTGTTCTTTGGCCTTCCTGTTTTTCGTTTCCCTTCCGGATTCCAAGTTAGGGATTGAGTCGTGATGCACATTGGTGATTTCCTTAATGTATGTCCGATCCACTTCCAACGTCTTTCCCTAATTTCCTCTTCAGCTGGAAGCTGGTTTGTCCTCTCCCATAAAACGCTGTTGCTGATAGTATCCGGCCAGTGAATGTTGAGTATTTTGCGTAGACAACTGTTTATAAATACTTGTACCTTCCTGATGATGGCCGTAGTAGTTCTCCACGTTTCAGCTCCATACAGTAGGACCGTCTTGACGTTCGTATTAAAGATTCTGACCTTGAAATTGGTTGAGAGTTGTTTTGAGTTCCATATGTTCTTCAATTGTAGAAATGCTGCCCTTGGTTTGCCAATCCTCGCCTTTACATCTGCATCCGATCCTCCTTGTTTATCAACGATGCTCCCCAGGTACTTGAATGTTTCCACCTCTTCCAGAGTTTCGCCATCAAGTGTGATTGGGTTGGTGTTCTCCGTGTTGCATTTGAGAATCGTGCTTTTTCCTTTGTGAATGTGGAGGCTGCTGCTACATTTGCTGTCTTCATCTGCATTTGGTCGTGTGTATGAGAGAGGAGGGCTAGGTCATCTGCGAAGTCCAAATCATCTAATTGATTCTGAGCTGTCCATTGTATTCCGTATTTCCCTCCAGATGTCGAATTCTTCATAATCCAGTCAATCACTAGAAGGAAGAGGAATGGGGAGAGTAGACAGCCTTGTCTGACTCCGGTCCTTACTCTAAATGCATCTGTGAGCTGTCCTCCATGCATGACTTTGCACTGTAGTCCATCGTATGAGTTTTGGATAATGTTGACAATCTTTTCAGGAACTCCATAGTGTCGAAGAAGTTTCCATAATGTTCTCCTGTCCACGCTGTCAAACGCCTTCTCATAGTCAATAAAGTTGACGTATAGTGATGAGTTCCACTCAACTGATTGTTCAACGATGATCCGTAGTGTCGCAATCTGGTCTGTGCACGACCGATCCTTACGGAATCCAGCCTGATGATCCCTAAGTTCGGCGTCTACTGCGTCTTTCATCCGATTCAGCAGCACTCTGTTGAAAACTTTTCCTGGTACTGATAACAAACTGATGCCTCTGTAGTTCTCACATTGGCTCAGATCTCCTTTCTTTGGTATCTTGATGAGATATCCTTCTTTCCAGTCCATTGGCATCTTCATATCCTGTGTTGTCCACTCCAACTTTAGCATTTAGATCTCCCATCAGGATGGTGAGGTCCTTTCGTGAGCACTTTGCTATAATTGATTGCAGCCTTTCATAGAACTGATCTTTATCATCGTCGTTGCTATCATTGGTGGGTGCATAACATTGGATAACGTTCATTGTGATCCCTTGCTTCTTTGTTCTGAATGATGCTTTGATTATCCTGGGTCCATGAGTTTCCCATCCCACAAGTGCATTTCGTGCTTCTTTGTACAGCATTAGAGCAACTCCCTGAGTGTGTGGAGCATTTTCCCCTTCGTGACCGGAGTACAGCAGCATCTCTCCTGTACCTAGCCTTTGTTGTCCAGTTTGTGTCCAATGGGTTTCGCTGATTCCGAGTACTGCCAAGTTGTATCTCCTCATTTCCATTGCTATTTGGCTGGTCTTTCCTGTCTCCCACATTGTCCGGACGTTCCATGTACCTATAAAGAGTGTTGCTCTGGTTGTTAGAAGGTGCATCGGTCTCGTGACTTCCGAAGAATTTCGGCTTTCATCATGAGACGTCATTATTCCTTCAACTCCCAGAGCAGAGTTTAGATGGTTTGAATTATTTTTTCTGGTTAGCGTTTCTTTAGCGAGTTAGCTTTTCTACGGTATGGGGTCGCTAACCCCATGCCCAACCCTCCTCCTTTACCCGGGCTTGCGACCGGCAGTAACTCTAGAAGAGCTACAGGCTGAGTTAAAATAATGATAAAGTTATTACGAAAAGGAGTAGAGAAAATTGTTAATATACCAAAATACTAGTTATACTCAAAGAAAAAATATGGAACGTTACTTGAATTGTCAGGAGGCTTGCTCGAGTTCTTTTTGATCTAGTAATACACAACTATGATCAGCCTATGATTCCAAATATGAATAATATAATACAAATTATGTACCCAGAGTAATCTTGTAATGAAAATATCAATGTGATCTGTAAAGGTAGACAACAAATATATTAAAGTTCTATTATCACAACAGCTGATAAGTGAGAAGGAGAAGTATGTATGTTCAGCAGTGTATTTTTGAGCGATAATCGATGTGTCATGCCATGAGAATACAGAACGGGAACGAAGGATCTAGGTCATACCCTTCATTAAAACCAAGATTTTACGGTCAATTATAGTAATTGTACAAATTATGCGAAATAATGAATAAAATGCAAATAATTGCAAAATAGGTTCATATTAACTACCTTCACAAGTCTTTCCATTTGATCTAGTTAACGACAAATTTAGAATTATGCTACTTATATATAAATAAAAGTAGTGTTAACTTCAGGGCAAAAAAAATCTGTACACTTTTATATTTCAATGGATTCGAAGTCCAAAAATATTGGGTAATGTGTTGTTGCGGCAAAAATAAAATTCTTTACAACGACATAATTCGGCTTTTTTCCCTCTTTCAAATACTTTCGTAATATTGATAATAATTTAATATGGCGCGATTTAGTAAAGCTGTGCACCACCACTACTACTATTGATACTAAACAAGTATGTATGAATTGCCGGTTTACTACGTTTTTTTTAATTGCCTTGTACAAATGAAGTCTTCTTTTTTCATATTTTTTTCTCTACTGAACTCTATGTCTCCTTTAACGACTGTTCATCTTTTTCCTTTGAATAATACTATAATTTTGATGACATGAAAATAATTTTGTTTCTCAAAGTATTTAGGTTATATCCGCCTATTTTATCGTTAGGTACTAGGTGAATGAGATTAAAAAAAAAACACTTAAAGTAGTAAAAAAATCCGTTTAACGTAGTTTTAAAATAAAAGTAATACTTATGTTTGCTATAATCGCCCCAAAATTACTGATACTTGCGACTGTAAATACTTCAATCAGTCAGCTACAACGTAGGACCAGGCACATATATGCATCGGCCTAAGTTGCCATGCCTTGTTAGCACAACAAGATAAACAACAAATTCATAGGAGTATTTACTTCTATAGTAGTAATATATAAAAAGAAGATTGTGTATAAAGATATAATATAGGAAGAAAGAATTAGTTCGTAGAAATAAAGCAATTTTAATCTCACGGTTTAAGGGAAGACAAAAAGTCCATGCATCTAAGAGATTGTGATCGACTCTGAGCCATGTCACCCAGTCTGCAACCATTGGTTACGATAGTCACGCGGACCCCAACCAATTAGTCTGCATCTGCCAACATCGCTCAGACGAGAAGTTAGTGACTTTATTTATTGATGCCACATTTTAGTTTGGCTACTCCTCACTTTCTTCCATCCGTCTCCAACACTAGTCAGCATTGCTCGTCGTGATAATCGGTGTTCAGGCATATGTAACACTTGGCCCAACCATCTCAGTCTATGAAGATTTATAACCATTAACTGATTTAACATCATTCCCTAATACCGTGTGTCTAACCTCATTGTTATTTACCCGATGATCCCAGCAGATGCGAGTAATATTTTTAGGGCATCTGTGATCAAATACTAGTCGCATCACAAACATCCCGGCATTGTTGCTCAGTTGATATATGGGCCTCCTAGTAGGAGATCAATGCCCGACAATTCAGTCGACGAGAGCGTACAATACAAAATAAAGAGAAAACTGATAGTAGGAACTGATTTTATTCAAATTTCAGAAAACATGACCGTCTCTTATACTAAAATCTAGTCTTATAAAAATTTCTATACATAATCGACCTGTTATGTGTAATAGTGGAGTCCAGGACAAATGTTTCATCGTGTTCTGAACTCGTTCGTTACGTGTACATCTGCATCCTATTGTTGACATTTACACCTGGGACTCATATACAACTGGTTAATTTCTGTTACGTATAATCCAATGATGGCATTCATTATGTTTCTTGACGGTCCAGTTCCTATGGACTAGCTTTCTACAAAGCTTACTCAACCAGGTATGCGAGTAAGGTGACTGGGAGATGGCTAAGAATCTGTAATTAGCAGGGCTAAATGATTAGACATTTGTCTTTTTGACCCCAAAGATGGACATGTATGCTAAGGCTCTCGACTGAAGGTATAATTGGCTTACGTCAATAGCGTATCTTGTTTATTATTTCTCATCTACCACTTGATCTTTAGTTGACTTATGAGAACAAGTAAGTGATATATCTAAGCCCATTTATCCTCCCAATATCTTGATGAAGGTCCTTGAATGAAACTCATAATCACCTTCATGTTTTTTAAAGGTATCCTTTAATACATCTTTCGTTGTATTTATTTTGTGAATAAACAGTAATCGTAAGTCTACTACCTTGTTCCGTTAAAGTAGATAAATTTCTCAATGTTTATAGACTAGACTAGATGACAGCATTAACTTTTTATGGATTTTAAAAAAATTAATTCTTACTATATTGAAAAACCAACTACTCTTCACCTGCACAGATCAAATAAATGTTTGTGCCTTAAGCTACAACTCCGTTCCTTGTGATTTACCTGAAGAAACTTATAATGGTCTCTGAAGACAACCAAATGAGAAATTTAATGTGACTACATTTTAGGCTATACTTTTCTCGTTGAATTGAATTGTTATGAAGATGAATCAGTAATGGTATGACGTTGCAATAGTGATGTTGTTGTAACTCATTTGCCAAGTAAGTACTTGCTGCCCAAATGGCTCAGTGGTAACGTTTCAGAATGTGATGCAAGTTCCAATTATATGGGTTGCATCAGTTCCATCGGGATTACAATTATGTCTTGCTGATAAGTGTTGACTGAGATGCAATCTAGATTGAGTAGGGTTTCTTGCTGGTTAATTCAGACTATCTAATAGATCATATTTTCGGCTTTAACTTGTGTTTTTTCTGTTTGGGCAAGTAATACTATTTGAGTGCCCCTAAACGAAAATAAGTGAATCAAGACTCAAGTTTGCAATATTGTAGATGAAAGTTGGTCACCTTAGCCAGAAAGCTATCGTTAATCCAGTAGACATATGTATGTATGTACTGTTAAGAATTCTCTTAATTAATTTTATGTTTCTTTCAATAATCAATATTTTCTCTTGGTTTTTCTAAATGTTTTAATAATTTTTTTTATGATAAACAATTCACATTCCAGAAAATCGTTACAATAAATTGGAGGCTGAACACAATCATTGAATTACTGTTGGAGAAGATCTACAACTGTTCATTTTGTACATATACATGCTTATGTACATGTATGTATATTTTTACAATCCATAAAACAATACCAATTTTCACTTCTCATTCTTCTCTTATCTTAGATTATCCATTCCTTTTCAGTGTTCAATGAAAGTACATTTCTGAGCATTTTTCCGTCCTATTAGTGGATAAGTGCTCCATAGGAGAGTACGCCACTGTAATGCATCCCAACTTTCCATATAAAAAAAATAAATGAAAATAAAGTTAGAGCATGAGATGAAATGTTCAGTGAAAATTATGGTTTCATATGTAGCAATTACTTAATAAATGAACGGAAAAAATACCGAAAAATTATTGATACTCTCCAAATACTGACCATTGAAAATCAGATTCACTATAAATTCCAGGACACGTGTCTTGTCACCCCTTTTTTTCTACATCAATTTCATTAATTTTAATAACATGTTTCTGATGTCCTGTTTGTTTCTTTCTTATGTTGAAACGGAAATATTTTGTAATTGTTATATTAATACTATGTAATTTAACTTTGTTTTGTTTGTCTAGAGAAATATATTTGTTTTCTTCTTTTGTTTCTAACTGGCTTTGCAACTCAATTATTTTAATCAAATTTCACTGAAATAGTCAACTGAATAATCACATTCAAAATGATTTGCTAACAAGAATCTTTTGTTATGATTTCATTAATTTTATTATTTGTTTTAATGTAGTTCTTAATAAGCAAAGATGGATAGTGGCTAGCAGTGGAATCAAGGACGCGCGTTTCGTTTTATTTGGGACTTGTCAGCTGGATATGCCTGCATCTCAGAGTTGATGTTCACTCTGGGACATGCACGTATGCCAATAAGAGACTGACTAGTTGCAGTCCTAAACATCAATGGGAAGATTCAAACAAACAATACTAAGTGAATGTAGTTCTCAATAGTTTCTTAAACTCTAGATAATTTGAATACAATGCAACTTTAGTATCCAAGTGCAGATTTATTAACTCAGTTTTGAGTTCCTTTTTTTATATGTGAATGTTGGTAATGCTACAAAGTTTGGAAAACGGGGTTCTGTGCCATAGGGTTTGAACTCGAGACTTTGTGGTTGAAGCATACATATTCCATCCAATGAATGGAACTACTTAGAGATGTTGTAAGTTTGATTAGAATGCACCTATAACCAATCAGAATCTTCTTCATAGTGTATGCCTACATGAAACTAGGCAGATTATTGTGATTAGTTGACTAATAGTTGTAGTAGTTAGATTAGATGTTTTATGGGATCCCCTGATTATCGGTTTGCGTTTAAAACGTTTGTTTAATTGTTGAAAACTATCTATTTTACAGAACTAGGTGTGTAAAGTGTTCAAACAATATCCATCATTAAAAAACATATAGATGGATAAAAATATTCTGTTTAATAAATGCGATTCGGGATCACAGTTACAGTGTAAATTAGTGATTCAAAAGAATGACCAAGTGTCAGTATGGATTTTTGTAGGAATTGTTGAATTTCATTGACAATTACCATGTGCTCAATAGTGAGGAGGTTTCCCGAATTCTAGCGAAAATCTATGACCAGTAAAGCTAAGCCGTATCGCATATGAGGCAGTTACCCATCGAAGACAAAGGAAGATGGTCGCACAATGTCGTGGATTGGTTGGAGTTAGACATTACACCGTTGGCTGCCGACTCAGGGCTTTAGAAGCTGGGCGTCTGAGCGCGAGACTGGTGGTTATGGGTTCGATTCCTGCCTGCAGGGTCATAGTTGCACACTTCCGAAGAGTTTCATGCTAGGACGAAATCGCTGTCCAGTACTTCTACATTTTCAATGTTTGTACAGCTTATGTCGGTTCGTGATTTTAAAGAATAAATAAGCTTAACGCGTTTATGTATTTTACAATAATCACATATAAATTAAGGATTGTTTTTAAAACAAAATTAGTGGTGTCAAAATGACAAGGGATTACTGGTAATTTGCGATTAATAGTTTGAATAAATTTAAGTAAATAAAGTTTACAGAAATAATTATGTGATTACGGGTCAAATGTTTGGTCAATAACTATGTCAGGTTTCCCGACCGATGCGGCTACCTTGACGTGGTGGTCAGGCTTGCCTATCGTAATGAACCAATCGAGCTATACTGACCGGAACAATCATTCCTCAAGGTCCTACCATGCCAGGCAGGTCGGTTGAAGAACGGTATGACTAAAAGCAGGTTCGAAGTCGTACTGCTGGTTGTACAGAGGTGTGACAGCAGTAAGGTGTTTCCTTCAGACAACCAGCATAACAGCGATGCTGCCTTCCCACAAGGAGGGGTGAGGTTAGAAAAGGTCGACCCTAAAAATGCACACTGCCTTATCCCAAGGATATCCGTCTCCGGCCATAAGGTCCCAACAAGTACAGAGCTAACACAAAAAATCACTCACAGAAAGGTCGTATGTGACCGACCTCAAGCAGTTGTCTCCTGGGCATCGCGATCACGCTCTCAGATCACTAAGATCACGTCTAATCCAATTTCATTTTCAGGTACCTCCAGAAGAACTCTTACACTGTGGGCAGTCGGGAAGTGATAACCGCCCTCATACCTTTGACAGTCCTCAAGACGATTATATGTCATGTTTGACATGCTTCGTGATTCTACCAAATCTGTTGTTATTTCAATTGCTTTCTATTTCACTCCATGTTCTCTTCAATTCAATCTCCTCGGTCTTCAACTGACAGGCATTCCATTTGTGACTGATGTTACATACTACTTATACCTGACAATATAAGTAGTATACATCACAACCTAGAAGGTTTTATTGTGTATAAAAACATTTTGCTTGTTAAAAACACCGCAAATAATAACATTAAATGTTGATATTCCTGAAGTGAGAATCGGTTGAATCAACTAATATCCTTCATCTTTTATTTTGTTCATCCATGACTTACCAACATATATAGCATAATTTAACTTACGATTATGAGTTGTCGATTACTAAGTGAGCATCCAACATCTCTTCAATTTAGCCTAAATAACATGCCAGACAATAAAATTTAAGCACAAGCCGTAATATAACGGAATTAGATAAAATAATTATTGAATAATTCCTTCGTTATCTTCATGAATTCTCATTTCTTGGTCCTGTTTCCAACATAAAAATTATATGCATAGTAAGTCCTATTACAACGTCAGCTTGAATATTACACTTCAAATTAAAAGAATATTGGATTCTCAAACTTTTCGACAGCAAACTTCAATAAATTTGAAGTTGAATAAAATGTAAAACTAAGCATTTCTTGAAATGGAATCTTTATCTCCTTGATTAACATCAGTAATAATTACCGAAGTAGTTTTAATAAAAATTTGTATAAACATTCAATCTACTTGATAAATATTCTCCAACATTAACATCAGTTATACAACAAAATAATTCAGGTTAAAGAGGAGCAAATTGATAAAGACATACAATCATTTAACTCTTTTTATCTGTAAATAATCTTTATTTTATTCAAGTATTATTAACATCTGAGTAAACATATTAGAAACAAAAAGAAAAAACCCAATAAAATTTCAATGAATGAATTGAGGTTAACAATGAAGGGTGTTAATGATAATTTCTGAACTTCAGGAATAAAAACTGATAGTAGTGTTATGCAACATTCATCAGACCATATTATTTATTAATAATCCATCCCAATCTCAATAGTACTGAAAATAATGTAGAAGCTTGGTAGCATAAATAGATACTTTTGATGACGTGTTACATTCCCTGAAATAAATACTTCTAATTATTGAGCTTTTAATGCCATTTTAGACAATGTCGTTAACAGAAGGGGTTTTGTAGAGATTTCAGTATTTTCATAGTTGAAAGTATGAGTCAATTAAAACTGGACCACCAAGAAAAACATGGAAGTACTGGACGGCCGTTTCGTTCTACTATGGGATTCCTCGGCAGTGCGCATCCACGATCTCGCCTCGCGAGATTCGAACCCATGACCTACCAGTCTCGCACCAGAGCATTTAACCAGTGGAGTTCAACCACATCTGTCGTGAGATAGGAACTCACTGAAGACATTTTGTGAACGGTTGGTCAAACTTCGTGGATTGTTTGAAGTTAGACATCAACACCGTTGGATGCCTGCTAAGTGGTCTATCGGTTAAGTGCTCTGGTGCGAGACTGGTAGGTCCTGGGTTCGAATCTCGCGAGTCGATGTCGTGGATGTGCACTGCTGAGGAGTCCCATAGTAGGACGTAAAGGCCGTCCATTACTTCCATGTTTTCCTTGGTGGTCTAGCTTTAACTGACTCATGCTTTCAACTATGAAAATATCGTTAACGTCTACTTCATCTAATCACCTCAATTCAGCCATCTAGTTCAGAGAACAAACATCACTCTCAAAAGTATTGGGAATAATAAATATTTCTGTTTATCATATGCTCATTAGATTTTTGTTATATCTTAGTCAGGAATTCCTATTTGTCCAGTTTTAGATAAGTATAGTTCTTCATACCATAAAACTATATAGTGCCTTGTTCGAATCCTGAATCTCCTAAACAAAATATTAAAAACTATGAATAAAATAACTATGTATATTCATCGTCTTTTTGACTTTCAATGTTCGTTGTTTTAATATTAATTCATATTTACGATTGAAAATGACTCAGAATGTTGTTTGATCATTTCAGTAACTATTATTATTATTGTAAGCAAAGATGGATAGTGGTCAGCAGTGGAATCTAGGACGCGCGTTTCGTCCTATTTGGGACTCGTCATCTGGATGTACCTGCATCTCTGAGTTGATGTTCACTCTGGGACTCGAACCCAGTGCCTTTTGCTTCAATCGCCATCGCACTATTCACACAGCTACTGACTCCTGATAGCCACTTGCTTGTGCAATGAGGTGAAGTTATTATTATTATTATTATTAAGATTATTATCAACACCATCCCTACTATTCATGAATATTCATTTGCTTTACTTATAACTATTCTAACAAGAACCAGAGTACACAAGATTATTACTACTGAAGAAATAATATTCGTGTATTGGATTAGTTGCGTGTTTGTTAGTGCATTTATAAATACATATTTGTATCAACGCGTTTTGCATTTAAAGTGGCGTACAATCAGCTATGTTCAGTGAAATGTATATGATTCTGTTCTGCGTGAGTGTTTTGAACTAAGTATCGAAAAATGTGATTTTTCATTTTTTTTTCTCTACTCCGATTTCCTCTCTCTTTCTCTTTATGACGTTTTTGGTTGTTTGCCTATGTTATCTTTTATGCTTCATCAAATCTCTTTAATACTGGGTATACTACTACTACTACTACTACTACTAATAATAATAATAATAATAATAATAATAATTATTATTATTATTATTATTATAGATGGGTTGTAGGTGACTTAGTTGGATGATTAAAAACATCAATTTGAATACTGCTCAGTGATGATACATTCCACTTGTGGAGGAGATACTAAAAAAATGTGACAATCAGTGGAAATACAATTCACATAGAAATGAACATACACACACACAAAATGTACTCATGCTGAGAATGAATGACTCTGAATGAGGCTAACACTAACTTCAAAAACCCAGATGAAATGTGACTACGGATAGATAGCAAGTTAAAGAGAAACTGTACATAAATGTGTATGTTAGTGAGTGATAATAAAAGCATCAATGACAGATGATGAGTAGTGATGCGAAACAAAACTAAATAAAAGAGAATTAAACCCACACCAAAAAAACAGATGAAAGGAGAAATTGGCGTATAGATGATTTCTAATGAGATAGATAATGTAGTCGCCTATTGTCTATCTACACTAATAACTATGATCGATGTGGTTGGTAATTTTTATTGATACATTCATTGTGTATTTATAAATAGATATATTGTTTATCTGTTATCGTGATTCACTTAAATCAACAAATAGATAATAGTCTTGTCCTGATTGTTAATAAACATTGTACAACTGATATTTATTCTTTGAAACGACGACAATTTATAGAATATTCGAAGTGAATGCTATTGACATTCATTTAAATCAAGAAGCATTGGACAGCCATTTCTTCCTAGTATGGGACTCCTCATTGACAGTGTGCATCCACGACCTCAACACAAGGGAACTAGGCCCGGATAGGACTTACAGTGTAGTGCAAAAGTTTAACCTCTAGACAGCTGAGCTTCCTGACTTTGATAGAGTTTTGTTCACTAAGCTGGATGGTTTAGTCGTAGAGTTTTCATCGTTATTCTGAACGACATCAGCATAAACAACAGGAAGACTCCCATTAGATATCCAGCATAGGTCAGTTGGTCAGATACTTACCTACTACTACTACTACTACTACTACTACTACTACTACTACTACTACTACTACTACTACTACTACTACTACTACTACTACTACTACTACTACTACTACTACTACTACTACTACTACTACTACTACTACTACTACTACTACTACTACTACTACTACTACTACTACTACTACTACTACTACTACTACTACTACTACTACTACTACTACTACTACTACTACTACTACTACTACTACTACTACTACTACTACTACTACTACTACTACTACTACTACTACTACTACTACTACTACTACTACTACTACTACTACTACTACTACTACTACTACTACTACTGAAATCATTTAGAATAGGAAAAATGTAGAATGCACTGAATAAGTATTCTAACATAGTACAAAACAATGCGGTCATATAAACTTATTGACCACATGAAAGATCACACTCTAATGAAGAATTTGCTGTGTACCACCAACCATGACTTGAATTTCCAAAACCTACTGGTTATATATATATATATATATATATATATATATATATGTCTTCATTTGAACGTATTTCTGTGCAAACTGAATCGTTATTCGCTTAGTATTGTTTGTTTGAATCTTCCCATTAATGTTTTTAGGACTGCAACTGATTAGGATTCCACTGCTAGCCACTATCCATCTTTGCTTACCATGTTTGTGAATCGTTACTGTTATTTCTTTTTTAGATTAAACCAGCTAAAATTATCATACAGATTAGGTTGGGTATGAATGATTTCTAGTTTGTTTTTTTAAAATTTATTATATAAATAGCTATGATATATGTATAAACATCGGGATCATTCAACTGTTAAGATTTTAAAATGTTTAATGGTTGTACTACTGTTCATTTCATACTTCAACACGTTCGTTTCTTCAATTCATCGATTAGTTTGTTTTGTTTTTTCTAATGTGACATATATCTCATTCCACACGATTGGACCTAGAGTTATTCATGATCTATTGAACAAATTCATTGTAGATGGTAAATTCAAATAATACGAACTGACAGTTACATCGTAAGTAACAGTATTAAATCAGAGGGTTAAAACTTACATACATATTTTGATTGAAACACCAAGTTGATTCAAATATAATAACTATATGGTTGAACTATTTAGTTGAAGAGAAATGAAGAGTAATGAAATGAAAATGATGATTTTAGATCATATACTTCTTCTTCTTCTTCTATAACTTAGATATCTATAGATTATAAGTTGTATGGTGTAATAAAATGTTTCAGTTTTGCCTCTAACTAATTAATTATAATACAGTCACATTGTGGTGCATACTACTTATGACAAAGGACATAAGTAGTATGTCACACTAATCAGAAGTGGAAAACCTGGCAGTAGAAGGCTAAGAAGACCGAGTTGAATAAAACAGAAAAAAATTATGGTTTGGAAAAAAGTATACAGGGTGTGGAACTCAATTGATGAAAGATTTACAAATGAAGTAGTTAATGTATGGTTCTCATATTTTACCATGATATTCTGTGATTTTGTATTAAAAAATAAATTGGCTGTCCCCCCACCTTGAGTTCACATTCGTTACAATATGTTTATTAAAGTTTAAACTTCTAAAAATGTATTTGTGAATGAACTCTTATAATTTACACTAAGTTGTGGAAATCAGTTAATTATTTTAAATATATGATTAGAACAAACTAATCATTGATATACTTGCTAAAGTATACAGTTAATAAATGAAATATCATAACACTGAGAAAGAACAGATGAAATTGTTACTTATGGAGAGAATTTATTGATGCATTCTCATCATATTAAAGATACAACAGTAGGTGAATGTAATATTGCTAAGTAATGATTAGATGAGCAATTTTATTTATTTATTTGAATACATAAATATTGGTACAAGGAAGCACCAGATATATATGCACCATACAAAAATTGTCATTTTATTTAATTGTGTGAAGGTTATGATACTGCCCGGGTGTCCAGACCGAAGCAGGTGGTTTTCTTAAGGGGTCACACACGGAGCCTGTGACCTAAATGTCTGATCCACAAAGCAGTGAACCATCGTAAGGAGATGCAGTCTCATGGTAGACGGTGATCAACGATTGATTCACATGCTATTTTCTACATCAGGATACTGGAGGACATGCGCACCATTGAGTGAGAATCAGGGTTTTCCAACTCGCTTAGATGGATTTTCCGTGTCCACCAACCTGGTTATAGCGCTGGACATTCGCTTTTCGTCCTCTCAATTTTGTAAACAACACCCCCTCCACGAGAAGGCAGTGAGTAGGACTTCCATGGCAGAGGCTGTATACGCATGGCCGTGTGAGAGCATTTCGAGAGAGAGGTTGGACCCTCCACACACCCAGCCGTACCAGGGCATTTGGGGGCGGATCAGCAATTGCAGAGATATCAAAGTACGAGACAGTTGTGTAAAAACATCAAAGGTTTCTACTAATTATTTCCATGGAGAAGCTCAAACCAGTTTACCGAACCAGACTTGAAAAACTCATTAAATTTCAATTATTGCATAAATAGGATCCAACTATAGATTCTGTTGTAAAGTGTATCAATGCTCTATTAATCATATAAGAATTCTGAGTAGATATATTGTACACAAAATTACATTACAATTATAAATGACTTGAATTTGGTTATTTCGTACATTATATAAATAAATCCTTACTTCAGCATGTTACCGCTTGTGGAGGAGCATAGTTCGCCCACCAGTATTCTGTCCTGGAAAATCCTTTCCAGTTCATTCCACTTGCTATTCATACTTTTCCAATTCTCGACTCAATGTGTTCTTTGGCCTTCCTCTTTTCCGTTTCTCCTCAGGATTCTAAATTAGCTATTCCTTCGTGATGCAGTTTGATGATTTCCTTAATGTGTGTCCTATCCACTTCCAACGTCTTTTTCTAATTTTCTCTTCAGTTGGAAGCTGGTTTGTTCTCTCCCTCAGTAAGCTGTTGCTGACGGTATCTATTAAATAAATCCTACTTACAAAGAAAATGTTATCTAAATCTTCATAGCTTTATTCATTTCCATAAAAGTGTATAATATAGGAACGAGCTTAAAACAAACGTTATGGGTTCTCATCCAGTTTTTAGCCAGTGAGAAGACAGTTTTTGTAGATGAACAGTATATAGAAAATAAGACAATAATATCGCAAAGCATAAACGGACTTCATGTGATTGAGTAATCTATTGTGGTTTTATGCAAGTTACTCTGCTTGAAAATTGAAAAAAGCAATGATGCATATATTCCTTTACATGGATATAAATTATCTGTCTTCTTGGATCCTTTCAAGTAACCAAATCGATTTTCCACATTGTTCTTAGTTAGAATTAGAGGTTTAGGGCTAGAGTTTTGGTCACGAACTGAAATAAACTGTGATGTAAAAAAAATTATTTTTAAGCTATAGGGATGAAAGAAATTCTCTCGAAAATCTAAGAGGCATTATTTTAAATCTGATTATTTATTTCATAAAATATAGTTTCACTGAATTAATGTTTGTTTCAGGAATAACTAACTCCGCCTTCAGCTCTTGCGGGGGCTACTGCCGGTCCCAAAACCGGATGAAGGAGGAAGGTTGGACATGGGGTTAGCGACCCCATCCCGTAGAAAACTAACTCGCTAGAAAAAACGCCAACCAGAAAAAATCATTCAGGAATAAGTGTTAAGATATAAGTATAGTGTTAGTTTTCCTGCTATATAAAATCTACATACAACCAATTGAGTAATTAAACACGTTTGTCACTATGACTTTCATTCCTATTTTTTGTATTTTCTTTTTTGAATGACAAAAAATATTCTTCCTTTTCATTTTAAACATTCTCAACCCCACACAAAGATATTTTTACTGCTCATGGGATAGGACGCATATCCGTCACTTTATAGCTCATTCATTTTCTAATGTTCAATCTACGTGAGATATATGACTTTTTTATTTATCTATTGAAGGAAGCATAATTTCCACTGGGAATTTCATCTCATGCTCTAAATTTCACTTTATCGGATTTTTCATCCAGCAATTTCAGGCGCGCTATAGTATCCTTCTCATAGAAGGTATGTACATATAGCCCTAGACGATCGAAATCGATCACTGGTCAGCTACTAAATGAAAGGGAAAACATTCGAATATGCCAGATATTGTTTTTTTTTGTAACATTGGAAAACGAATAGTTATTTCCACACACAGTCATTTGAACCAACTTCAGAATCTAGCGTAAAAAAACTCCAAAATCATTTTCACACCTATAATAGTCTCATCCCTTTAATATATTTTCATCTTCACTTCTTATTCGCGATATTATGAATTTTGAATATAAGTCAGATTAAGGGTTGTCAGAAAAAGAAAATTCTAGAATTTACAACAATGCAGCTGTAGTGAACAAGAACATGGGCACAACATTACAGAATATCTCATTAAAATCTGAGAACCACATAGTGAACAGTTAATTTGCAAAATAACAGTCAATTGTCTCAATTTGACTGTTTCTTCTTCAAATATCCGTCCATTGTCTCCGATTATAATTGTTCATGCATTTTTGTACCACTTGCGTGCCGTTCCCGTTCTCTCCTTATCGATCTTCTACTGAAATACATTCAATACCCGACCACCACCATATCCTACTTATATGGATATCAGTAACCCACACCACACAGCAACACAAGTGAAATAATTTTTTTCAAAATTATGCAATGAATAAAGTTTCCACCTTTGATGATTACACAGAAAATTTAAAATAGACTGGTGAACAAAAATGACTCAAATAAAACTATTTTGAATTTGGTTATATTTGAAATTGCGTAGTTTTCTGATTGATCAAAGGGAAATAATAATTAATCTATAGTTCAACTTTCATCTTTAAATCTTTTCACAATCCAATATCAATGTGGTGTTTATAAGACTTCTCGATCCTTTTTCCCCTCTCTAAACTACTCAGTCAATAATATATTATCTAATCCATATATGACATTAAATGTGTTAAACATTAAGTTAAAGAGTATACTTATTGTTGAAGTATATGCGAATACTTGTTATCAAACTGTTCAATGGATAAAATGTTTCCGAATATACGCGTACTTTTAGGTTTGTTTATAGTACAAAGGTGTATAATGATAACAAATTATTTTTGTTAATATTGGTGAGAAAGTAGGCTTTTTTTCACTTTTGCAGATTGGAAACATTAGGCAGGGCGTGAGAGGTAAATAGAACAATCTGGAAAAGAATACAATCTATAAATTACACTAATCTTTGCGCAAAACCATTTTAACTAGACTATGATAGTCAACTCTCTGTTAACTTCTTTCAAGATGTTCCTGAAACTGCTAAGAATAAGTGATGACTAGTGTAGTTCAGACATGTTAGGAGTGAATTAGTCATAATCAACTGCATTGAATGATCATCGTTGATTGAATTTGTAATTGCATCACCAAACAATGACCTAGTAGTTCTAATTTTTATGCGTTGGTCACAAGACCTGAAAGTTATAAGTTCAGTCAATCGAGATGCTGTGACTGCACACTCCTGAGAAGTTCTATTATTTGGGCAAACCAGATGTGTCAATGCTTCTTAGTTTGTACTGATATAACATGTGAGAGCTTAATCTTTTTGGCTAGTGAATGACCTAGAAAAATAGATCTAATAATTAATTGCTAAATATTTTGTATATCCATGTGTAATTCGACTATACAAAACGACTTATATTTTGGTGACTAGATCTTTCTCGCTGTTTACTGGAACAGTACATCAATAACTCGAGTTTTGTAGGGACTCATCACTGTTATCCAAATACGTTATTATCCAGTTTCTCAGTAGGACTGGAAAGTAGGTCATATAGCTTATAACATATAAGCCATACTAATTTCATTGTTTTAACTGAACTTATCTACACTGTAAATAGACTATTTTTACTCCTTCTGCTGTATCGTATCTACGTATGTAAGTGTTCACGATTTTAATTTACTAAAAACTTATATCTCAGTAGCAATATCGAGACAATACGCACTGGATTTGCATACGTAAATGGAGACTAACCAATTACAGTTCATTATGTCAATAAAGGGTAAGTAAAAACCTTAACAAACAATTTCATAACCGCTGAACAAGTCAATGACTATCTGAACTCAATAGCTGAATTTGAGTCTCGTTTTAAGCATTACAATACTGAATACAGGGATATCTAGCTGGTAAGTATCAAATGAGATGAAACGAGTGTCCTAGATTCCTCTGTAACCATAAACCAAGTATACAACACACATGTATATGTTTATGTTCAAATGTTAGTGACTCATAAATCCCACCTTAAGGTCCCATTAATCAAGAAAATTATGTTTTATCCACTGTAATGAAAAAGCTAACAATATAATCACAATATAAAAGTAAGTAATTTGTACCAGTGATAACGCAAATGTTAGGGAACTATAAATACTACTACTACTACTACTACTACTACCGAAGTGCGTTCATGAATGCGATCATGTACACTAAATTTATCTTTCCAGCAGTGATGGCACTTTGTATATATATATATATATATATATATATATATATATATATATATACTCATAGGTTACGATTATAGGCTCATTTATCCATTCACATAGATAACCTGAACAACTGATGTTTCCTTATCCAATCAACTAGTATATTAGAGAACAAAAGTAATTGACTAAGGCTTCTCTGCTATGCATACATCCTCGCCAAAAACATAATATAACAACATTTGCTTTATCTCATTCCTTTTCTCTCGCTATAAAAATTGATAAACAGACATCTCTTTCCATTATGTGTATATATTGGTCGGCTGTTTTGGTAAAGTGTGTATTTTTGAAAATATAATAAAAATAATTTTGGGAAATAATTGGCATCATTCTCTAGAAAACTAGTACAATATATGTAATAATGTATGTATTTGTGTTGGTATATATATATATATATATATATATATATATATATATATATATATATATATATAGGTATGTATGACACGTGTATACATTGTGCACAGAAAATCACACACACATACACATTTTAATACTCGTTTGTAGATAAATGTTATATTCACACATCTGAAAGTATGTTAGTAATAATTATATGTAGAACAATATAATCATTATCATCCTAAGTCAATTGCAAATTTTGATTAGTAGTCATTGTGAGTCAAGTCAACTACTAATTTATCTACTGATTACCCAAATTTGTGTGTATGTCAATGCATAAGTGTGTGTGTGTGTGCATGTGTATGTGTTTACAAACCAACAACAAGTAACCAGGTTAATGATAAATACTGACTGGATGATTTCTAATTCATTTGTGATTAGATAAATCAAAAGAAAAAAATTTTTTTTACTTAAAAGCAAATAACATGAATCCTTTCGGAGTTTAAAAAAAAATTTATGCCTCACTTTTAAGTACTACTTAATACAACATTGAATAAGTAGAAAATGTCTAATTCAAGAATAACATGACAACTTTTGTTTTGTTTTGTTTTTAACAAAAATTCTCTATAAATACCCTTTCTAACTTTGGATATCTAGATTCCTGGGTTAAAATGAAACTGAACCAGATCAAGTTTATCCATCTTTCTGAAATAACGCTTTCTAATCCATACAAAACACTTACATAGTTCATATTCATTATTCAATAATTACTTATTATATATATATATTATTTTCAATGTCTACAATAGTTCATTCAATCTTCTTAGCATGTATCATAATACATTACTTTATAATAACAGCTGAAAAAGGTTACCATGATGAAAGTGGAACAAATAGTAACCATAATAAGAATGTATATAATATTAATGATGATAATAATAATAAATGTATTATTATAGAAGAAATCCTCATTAGTACATTTGTATGTGATTTAATGTTCCTCTATGAAAATTATACACCGAAAAATACATCAAAGAATTTACTTACATTAAATATATTAAATGAAAATCAAAAATTTCAAATTATTGATAATCATAAATTAGTAACTAGAGGACGTATTGATCGGGAACAATATGTTTTTGAAAAATTATGCCAAAATATTAAAAAAAATAATAATATAATGATCAATTTTGATGAGGATTATTCATTATTAAATGAAGGTTAGTTATTGTTTTGGATTTAATTTAACTTTTGTATACTTTTCCATGGGTGTGTGTGAGTGTTGTTTAACTGAACTTCAATTTCATATTATGAGTAAACATTTTATTTTCATAGTTGAAATCATGAGTCAATTGAAGCAAGACCATCATGGAAAACCTGGAAACACTGGACGGCCTTTACGTCCTATCGTGGGATTCCTCAGCAGTGCGCATCCCGCCCCGCAAGATTCGAACACAGGACCTACCAGTATTGCGCCATAGCACTTAACTGACAGACCACTGAGCCGGCATCCAATGGTGTTTTTATGTCTAACTCCAACCAATCCACGAAGTTAAGCAACCGTTCACCAATTGTCTTCAGTGAGTTGATATCTCACAACAGACGTGGTTTGAACTCCACTGGTCACAGCTTCTCACTAGAACTCCTGGATATACCTCTCGAAGTCAGTCACTAGTGAACATATGATTATTATTATCATAAGGGGTTTTTGTGGAGATTTAGTATTTTCATAGTTGAAAGCGTAAGTCAATTGAAGCTAAACCACCAGGGAAAACGTGTAAGCACTGGACTCACACTTTCAACTATGAAAATACTAAATCTCCACAAAAACCCCTTCTGAGAATAAATATTTTATTATTTGTATAAGGACAACATTTTCTTTATTTATTAGTAGGTGACAAAATGTAATACCTCAGGGACTTGTCTTAATCAGTCATTTTTTGTTTGTTTAAGTAATGTGTCATATTTAACAATATGAAACATTTTTTCTGTTCTGTAAATGGATGAGTAATACATATTAAAGTGAAATTTTCATTATAGATTTCATTTTGAGCCTTTAATCTCATTATAATTAAGTTTTTCATTCGTCATGTTTGGCTGTGTTACATTGATATATTCATATGACATAGTTGTGTAAAACTACGGACTTTGATGGAAATTACATTAGCGTATGCAACACTCACCAATTAAATTAGTAGAATTGTAGTCTAAAGTGCTGGATATAACTCCTCATTATAACAGTGATAACTCGACAGTTAGTCTCGACCTTCTTATGATGTTTAATCAATGAGTACTACTTAAAAAATCCTTTCGATGACTCGAAGGACAGAGATTGTTACATTATAATCGATAGTGAGATTTGATAATGTGATGAGCTGTTAGTAATATAAAGTTGGCTTGGATGTGTGTATAGTGCATGCTTTTTAATAAAAACAATGTGCACCAATAATGCATTAAAAAATGAGTTAATTAAAATATATGCCTCTATAAGCAGAGATGATGATGGCTAGCAATGCTTGTGACCTAAAGCAATCCTCACAGAATGCACATATGTCAAAATGAGACTGATCAACTGCAGTCCTAAACATCAGTGGGAAGATTCAAACAATCAATACAAAAATGAACATATCTCTATATTTATGAAAAACTCGTAATTCATAAAGTTATTGATGATTAGTCTAATTTTCATGGAAAATTGAAAGAGTTCGAAAGATATAGAATAGATGGTAAGAAACCTTGAACTTACGTTTCTTGCTACTTGACACCCAACAGATTAATGTATTTGTAATCTATAGAGAATTGGTAACATTTACGGATTTTTATTTCACACCCTAAAGGACTTGACATCTTGTGCATTTTACATCGATGTTAGTTGGTGAGATAAAATCTGTAGAACGGCCTAAGTAGCTCAGTAACTCCTCGACAATAAGATCATTTACTAAATGTTTCAAATAACATATTTAACTTTAAAGAAACGTAAAGAAATACAAACTTTTCATGTGAAGTTTTACAGGTTTTCATTGTGTAACACTATTTAACTCCCCTCTCTTTACTATTCTTCTATCGACTATTTGAATTGTCAAATAATTTGATGAGAAGACAAATAAACTTGTAAAAACGTCTTGATTAACACTGTAATCTACTTATCACATAGAAACTATTAGAACAGCACATATAAGCAAACAATACTGTTTCCAATTAGATCTTGATAACGCTTTATTTTAATACACGTGAATAAAAGACATCTTACGCAGCTGATCTTATACTGGTATTTTCTTTTGGACCAATGATTTGTACTTAAACAAAAGATAAAGTATCTGAGTTTACTTCTTCGATATAAACCTACCAACGAATAAGAGAATATCTCCTTGTGTGGTTTCTAAAGAGTAAAATTAAAACAAAACATAGCTCTATCTTAGCAAACCTGATTAACAGTAGTCATATGATTCCTTTTTCCTAGAGGATTTCAAGTTAGGGCTTACTTTGAGATCCAGATTTCTCAATGTGTGCCCTATCCACCACCAGAGTCTTTTCCCGATTTGGTCTCCAGATGGAACCTAGTTTGTTCTCTGACACAATTGGACGTTGCGGACGATTTCAGGCCAACGCATCTGGAGTATCTTGTGTAGACAAATGTTTATAAATACTTGTATCTTTTTGATGATGGTTGTAATGATCTATCATGTACCTTCATCATTTCCGAATCGAGATCGATCCTGTCTTCTACACATCACAGAAGCAATAAAGATCCGGATATATGACCCTATTTTATATCTTCCGAATTAATTCGTAGCAACTTTATTTTCTCCTTTGTTGGATATGATTTCATAGCCAATCATACTAACTTCTTTAAATCCTGTATTTATTTGTCGTTCCTCACCTCGTTCGTTTACATACTTTACTATGTGATCATTTACACACTTATTACGTAATTCTAATAGGTTTTCTCTAACTTTGACGTACATTCTGTTTGTAACTGTTGGTTAAAACTTGGTATTTTACTGTTCTTATCGCTACTAGTACACTTATTCTCTTATTATCAGTGATCATCGACTCATAAACTGGCTGGATTGATTTATTATTCTCGTAAATCAAAATAAAGCCTGATAAATATCTAATTGAAAAAAATATAATTAGTTTATGTGGATTGTAATATTTTTCATAATGTGGATAGTCAACAACATACTAATGGCTTTTTATGAAAATTAACTATCAAATTTAGAGAATCTCCATATTTATCTTGATGTTTTCATCTCGCCGTGCTGATGTTTTTTGACAACTCTAATCATAGATTTTTCCGAGGTTCTGCGTTGCTTATAACTGATTAATAGACTGAGGAACTGGCTGACTGATTTCTTAAACTGTGCAGTAAATTCAATTGTATTACTTTTTTTTAGTTTGGATGCTTCTTATCATGTCATCGGACGATTTTTCTTTCTTTCTTTGTGAGTATAAAATCTTCAACCTTTTCTCGGAATAGAAAAATAGAATAACAAAATTAATTTCGACCAAACAAATGTTATCCATATGTTGGTCTCGTATAAGTTTTATATTTATTGTATACCATCATACTACTTATAAGTGTTTTGAGCAACTCGTTTGTTATAATTTGTATTTTATGATATGATGGTGACGATAATAATAAATATTAATTTATAGCAATCCTGAACCAATCTAAGTTAGGTCACCATTAAAAACCCAGAATCACTGGATGTCTGTTTCATCCTAATATGGGACTACTCAATAGTATGCATCCACGATCCCACATGCAGAAATTATTCCGGCACTAATGTCTACACCACTGAACTGTTATTCATCAGTGTTAATGTTTAAATTAAATCGATCCGCGATACTGTGGGGCCATCTTACATTGTCTTCGATGGGTAACTGAATCACAGCCGACACGGTCACAAATTCTCACTAGAACTCTTAGAATTAACTCCTGAGGCTAGTCACCAGTGAATGCTCGATAATTATCAATGATATTAATGATATTCACAACCCTATTTGACATATACAGAGTAGTCTACTGGGAAATATTAATTATTTGCATTTCAAAGTATTTGAAGATTTTAAATATTTGCAAAAAATATCTGTAGTGATCCAGATGTTAGCGAAAAAAGAGTAAAATGAAAACGATGTATGGATGAGACCTAATTGTTCATTTGTGACAGATAAAAAGACGATGGATTTGCAAATGAACTCTGGGATTCAGGTATATCCAGCTGACGGATCCCAAATAGGACGAAACGTGCGTCCTGGATTTGACTGCTAGCCACTATATATCTTTGCTTATAACGCTTGTGACTTCACGCAATATCGAGACAGTCCATACAGGATGCTCATAAGCCAACAAGAGACTGATCAATTGAAGTCCTAAATAGCAATGTGAAGGTACAAGTAAACAACACTATGTCAATAAGCTATATAGTTTTACAGAAACCATAAATGATATCTGCTGATACGGTGACGAAAGTCCCATTTGATTGAAGTGCCAATGACATACAACATTGGTTCTTTCCAAATGTCTATATTATAAAAATCACATTTGCACAATGAGTAATTTCATAATTTAATCAGTTAGTTATAGCTGTCGATTATAGACAATTAATTTTATGATACTGTAAGCTTGTATTTAAGCAGTAGTTAATAGGAAGTGCTAATCAGTTAACTTTATACAAATCTCACGGTTGGACAATGTAAATAAATCGTATAAAAATCAGTGTATTCAGGTATGATTTTGATCGAGTTTTGGTTTCTAATAAATCCACATCTATTGTGTTCCTTTCTGCTTTACACTGTGCAGTTCATAGCGTTATGACTTATAGCCACTTAATAATATCACGTGACTTTCTCCTTAAGTTAACCAGTGAGATGCTAACTAGACCTGATTCACTAGTAAGTCCTTATTGGTCTCAATTTAGTAGCTTCTCTTCTTACTCTACCCTCTGAGTACAGGACACAGTAATAAGCCTCCACTACACTAATTCTATATTTCAAGCATACATAGTCTATATGCAGAGATACCTATTCACATCACACCGTAAAATGAAAAATGAAAATTATACACGATCAAGCCAAAAAATGGCTGTGATTAAGGGAAACTGTAAGCGATAAATTGAGTATAACTTAGGAATAGTGAGTCGTGAGATAGTAATTAATGGATTAAAATAAAGCTCACGATAATGGATATATATATATAATAGTGATTTAGTTAATA